TATAGCACAAAAGTAGATCTTTAGGTATTTTTGAGAATTTTAAGAGCTGTCGATTTGTCAGCAACAGATTAGAGAATCAAAATACCGTTGTATAGGGACTGACCCCAGAGAAACCTGCTAAAATAGATTAGCTCCTGTAACGATAATACCAATTTGATTAATGATGAAGAATCAGAATGACACAGCGGTGGTCATCAAAGAGTTTTGTGAAGGAATGTTTCGAATGTGGTTTTGTGTTGTATTCTTTCTGTATTGGCTCTTCACAGATATCAAGCCGGAACTAAGCACAAGTATGGATGATAAACGACGATGTGGATTGTGACCTGATTTTTAATCAGGTCAAAAGAGGGAAACTGTTGCATAATTAAAATGTTGTATACTAATGATTTTGAAAATAGGCCCTCTGAAGAATGTGCACGGGGAAAAGCCCCAAGGACAAGGATTGCAAACAGGAATAAAGAGGGTCAAATGGAGAAACTACAATCAGTCATAGAGATACCAACTTTCAAAACGGGACAAATTATTAACTCCAGGAATAAACATTCTTGTCTCTCTGGCGAGGCCAAAAGTCCAAAAAACACCATCTCTCAGGCAGACTGGGAGATTCTCCAAAGGCATTCTGACGCCTCCCAGTGGACACGGGACGCCAGCACACCCGAAAAGAACATTCGGGAGACGCCCACAAGTGACGTCATCAGACGTCTTGATAAAACTGTTGGTTTGAGTTCTGGGGGGAAGGTTAGCGCAGGGGTAGAGGAGAGGGACATATTAGTTTAGGAGCACTTTTTTGTTGAATATTCTGTATCTGATTGTAAAGATAATTAAATGCAGATGTTAACCTTGAAGAATCTTTAGTCTGATTTCTGTACCAAATTGTGGACACGCCAGCCAAAGGGAATTATTGGCTTCATGGTGAATCAAAACTTTTTTCCCCATTACTCCCATATAAAAAAAAAAAATTCATGGCAAAGTACGCACATACAAGCACCGGCCAGCTTCATCTTTTTGCACCATGACCGCAACGGAATTCCATCGTCTCCCGCCTCCCACCAGCGGGGCTGCTGGCTGGCTGTTATTGCTCCATTCGGGACTCAATTTTCCTTCTCTTCGCCTTTTCAAAAGCTCCGTGCAGTTGCCAGAAACTTTCATCTACGTTTTGCCATTGCTAATTTGGCCACATCTTCATTTGCGCGTGAGGTCAGCGTCCCAGTGCCTTGATTCATTTGCGGAGCATGGCCACGGCACATTCAAGTCGCACTCGTGATTTTATTACTTTTTATTTAATTTTAATTTATTTATTTATATAATGTGTGTAATTAATAAATATATATATATATATATATAATCAGTGCCTTGCAAAAGTATTCGGCCCCCTTGAACCTTTCAACATTTCGCCATATTTCAGGCTTCAAACATAAAGATATAAAATTTTATTTTTTTGTCATGAATCAACAACAAGTGAGACACAATCGTGAAGTGGAACGAAATTTGTTGGATAATTTAAACTTTTTTAACAAATAAAAAACTGAAAAGTGGGGCGTGCAATATTATTTGGCCCCTTTACTTTCAGTGCAGCAAACTCAGTCCAGAAGTTCAGTGAGGATCTTTGAATGATCCAATGTTGTCCTAAATGACTGATGATGATAAATAGAATGCACCTGTGTGTAATCAAGTCTCCGTATAAATGCGGAGAAGTTTAAAGCCGGATTTGGATACAAAAAGATTTCCCAAGCGTTAAACATCTCAAGGAGCACTGTGCAAGCAATTATATTGAAATGGAAGGAGTATCAGACCACTGCAAATCTACCAAGACCCGGCCATCCCTCCAAACTTTCATCTCAAACAAGGAGAAGACTGATCAGAGATGCAGCCAAGAGGCCCATGATCACTCTGGATGAACTGCAGATAACTACAGCTGAGGTGGGGATGGTGTGTTCAGGGTGATGAGCTGTGTTGCTTTTACGCCAAACATATCGTTTTGCATTGTGGCCAAAAAGTTTGATTTTGGTTTCATCTGACCAGAGCACCTTCTTCCACATGTTTGGTGTGTCTCCCAGGTGGCTTGTGGCAAACTTTAAGAGACTTTTATTGGATATCTTTGAGAAATGGCCACTCTTCCATAAAGGCCAGATTTGTGCAGTGCAAGACTGATTGTTGTCCTATGGACAGACTCTCCCACCTCAGCTGTAGTTATCTGCAGTTCATCCAGAGCGATCATGGGCCTCTTGGCTGCATCTCTGATCAGTCTTCTCCTTGTTTGAGATGAAAGTTTGGAGGGACGGCCAGGTCTTGGTAGATTTGCAGTGGTCTGATACTCCTTCCATTTCAATATAATTGCTTGCACAGTGCTCCTTGAGATGTTTAAAGCTTGGGAAATCTTTTTGTATCCAAATCCGGCTTTAAACTTCTCCACAACAGTATCTCGGACCTGTCTGGTGTGTTCCTTTGTCTTCATAGTTCTCTCTGCGTTTTAAACAGAACCCTGAGACTATCAAAGAACAGGTGCGTTTATACGGAGACTTGATTACACACAGGTGCATTCTATTTATCATCATCAGTCATTTAGGACAACATTGGATCATTCAAAGATCCTCACTGAACTTCTGGAGTGAGTTTGCTGCACTGAAAGTAAAGGGGCCAAATAATATTGCACGCCCCACTTTTCAGTTTTTCATTTGTTAAAAAAGTTTAAATTATCCAATAAATTTCGTTCCACTTCACGATTGTGTCCCACTTGTTGATTCATGACAAAAAATTTAAATTTTATATCTTTATGTTTGAAGACTGAAATGTGGCAAAATGTTGAAAGGTTCAAGGGGGCCGAATACTTTCGCAAGGCACTGTATATATATATATTCATTTTTTTTTTTAAATAGATATAACAGATACATACGTATATGTATTAATGTATATTTTTTTATAATTAACCATTCAATTGTGTGTTATAAAAAAAACAAAAAAAAAACATTATTTTCAGACCAATTTTATTTGACGGAAATCCGTCACCCCGACGGAAATCTTTAGCCCTGAAGTAACAGGAAATCACAGACTAGGAAATTGCTTTGGCTCTCGGAGCAAACAAGTCAAAAGTAGAGAAGAAAAAAGCATAATAAAACGTTTCTAAACATCTCTAAAGTATAGCTTTTTCTAAGATAGGAGTTAAAAGTAAAGTCATTACTATTATTACTATAGTAATTGTAGTAGTACCATACTGACTCAAGATTTACATGGTTCTTAATGGGGAGAGTTACTTCCATGTATACTGTTATGAATACTGGGGACATGTACACTACGGCTGGCCAATAAAACGATAACGATATATATCGCGATAGACACGTGTTTATGATCAATAGAAAACTGGGTCGAAAGAATGTTCGATAGATTAACCCTTTAAGCGCCAGAGGTTTTTTTCCAAAACGCTCAATTTTGACTTCTTAATTTCAAAAGGCTATAACTTAAAAGTGATAAGAGATAAAGGCTTTCTGTAAATTAGAAAAATACTAAGGATGGTCCAAAGTTTATGTAGAGAATAAATCCCCCCATCTAATTTGCATATTATAACATCATTTGGCGTTAGAAATAGTGGATTTTAGAATTTTCATACAATATATTTGTATTTTTCTAACTGAGACATATATTGATCACTAATACATGAACACACACAGAACACACACTGCAACATTGTAAATGCTCATGAAAATAGTAAAAAATACAAATCATGCTGCTGCTGTGAGCAGTCTGCCCAGACGCGCGCCTCCACGACCCTGCTGCTGCAGCTGTCTCCCCCACTCTCTCTCTCTCATCTCCCCTGATCTCTCTCTCGTCTAACACACACAAGACAAGGCTTCTCCAACACGTTACTGTCCCGGTGATTACGGGAGGCTTGAAAATAAATATGTGGGAAGCACTTTTAGCGGGGACTTTGGGTGAAACTTGGCTGGAGGTCGCGGCGCGGCGCCCCAACGCTAGTTCCAGGTTTGTTTTCCGCAAATCTAACCTGTCTCCGAACCTCCCAATGACTTGGCCTTACTCTAAGAAACACTGTTCCCACTGCAGACCCTGTGCATAGTGTCTAAAGTTAGTGTTTGGTACGGTATAACACTCGCAGGCTGCCCCCGCAGCTGCATTCGCCTCACTATGATTTCCACGCTGGTTCAACGCGGTCTTGCTCGAATATTTTGTATGGAAGCATGAAGTTTTTTGGGGCCAGGGAGGTAGTCTCACATGTCTGCCAACTAGTGGCAGGGAGTATGAATGAATGTTGACACTCAGTTGGACACTCTGCCGTTTTAAACAGTACCGCAGCTTGTCGACTTAAGTCGACCGTGGCGCCTAGAGGGTTAACTTCACTTCAAAAAAGACACAGGAAGTGAAGCCGAGTCAGAAGCGCGCAGGATAGGGACGTAGACAGAGGCTTCTCAACCTATCACGGCCGAGCATGAACCGCAAAACATTCTGGGAAATTAAACAGAAAAATAAAAATAAAAATACAACAACCGCAGCAACCGTGTTTCAATGCCGTGTCAATGGTTATGCACGTCCGTGCGAGGAACATGTGTGGCGCGGGAAAGGCAGTGGGGACCGCGACTCGATGTATGCGGGAAAAGCAAGAGATTAACTTTCCTCTGTAAGCTCTCTGATAGCAGTACGGAGCAGTCACGGGGACGCAAGCGCGCAGCCAGAGGAAGAACACTGAGACCTCGAAATCAGCCAAAACAGGAGCTAAACCAGGACTAAACCAGGACTGACAATGGGGGACACTGTGCTTGTGAACATATGCCTCCAGCCGGAGTTCTCATTCTCCCGTGACTGTAAACAAGGGCTGCTAACGTTAGCCGACACGACAAATGTATACATTTAGGTTTTTTTTCTTTTAAACAAAATAAAAATAAAAATCAATTGTTGATATCGACCAATATGAATCACTTATATTGTGATACAGTTTTCAGCCATATCGCCCAGCCCTAATGTATACTGTTATGAATACTGTGTGATCTTACCAGGCTCTGGGTCAGCAGCAGGGGCTTGGATCAGGCTGAGGTGGGTCTGCCTGAGTCTCCTGCTGTACTCAGCTGACAGCTGATAAATCTTTGAACAAATTCCTTCCACTGAGTCTTTGGCCACAGCAGCGACGTGAGGTCCACACTGCAGGCGGAGATGCTCCAGGCGATCCTGAAGGGATACTGCAGTTAGTACTGCTGAGGTCAAATCTACTGACCTCCTGGAGGTCTATTCAACTCAATTCATTCTTGTATCGCCCTAAATCACAACAGTAGTCATCTCAGAGGACTTAACACAACTGTTTAAGTCTCCAACACAGATCAGAGAATCAAACAGTTCAAACACAAATATAAAACACATGGTATTGGTCCATAGGGGGAGTGTGACCAATGTCCATGGATGTTGATAAAAGTCCATAAATGTTGTAGAATAAGTCTACTGAGCAAATCTACAGGGCTCAGATCTTAGACTCAGGAGATCTCCTCAGACCCCACCTCCCTGTGAGCTGAGTGTAAGATGCTCCCTGTTGAATCTTATATAGTGCTGTCAGTTAAACGCTGAGGAGTAGTAGCAGCAGTAGTAGTATTAGTAATGATGGTACCATGGACAGCACTAACACGAAAACAGTGACGTCGCCCGGCATGGCGCAGCCGGGGCCCCACCCTGGAGCCAGGCCTGGGGTCGGGGCCCGTATGCGAGCGCCTGGTGGCCGGGCCTTAGCCCACGGGGCCCGGCCGGGCTCAGCCCGAAGGGATGACGTGGGCAGTCCCTCCTGTGGGCCCACCACCTGCAGAGGGGTCCGTGGTGAAGCGGTGCAGAGAGGACTGGGCGGCAGTCGAAGGCGGAGACCTCGGCGACCCAGTCCGCACACACAACATCTGGCTCTTGGGACGTGGAACGTCACCTCACTGGGGGGGAAGGAGCTCGAGCTCGTGGGGGAGGTTGAGCGATACCGACTAGAGATAGTCGGCCTCACCTCCACACACAGCTTGGGCTCTGGAACCCAACTCCTTGAGAGGGGTTGGACGCTCCACTTTTCTGGAGTTTCCCGCGGGGAGAGGCGGCGAGCTGGGGTGGCCATTCTCATTGCCCCCCATCTCAGCCGCCACGTGTTGGAGTTCTCCCCGGTGAATGAGAGGGTCGCGTCCCTCCGCCTCCGGGTGGGGGACAAGTCTCTCATTGTTGTGACGGCCTACGGGCCTAACAGCAGTGTAGAGTACCCGGCCTTCTTGGAGTCCTTGGGAGGGGTACTGGACGGTGCACCGCCCGGGGACTCCGTTATTCTCCTGGGGGACTTCAACGCCCATGTGGGAAACGCCAGTGACACTTGGAGAGGGGTGATCGGGAAGAGCGGCCCCCCTGATCTGAACCCGAGCGGTGCTCAGTTGTTGGACTTCTGTGCCAGTCGCGGTTTGTCCATCACGAACACCATGTTCGAGCACAAGGGTGTCCACCAGTGCACGTGGCACCAGGACACCCTAGGCCGGAGGTCGATGATCGACTTTGTTGTCGTATCATCTGACCTTCGACCGCGTGTCTCGGACACTCGGGTAAAGAGAGGGGCGGAGCTGTCAACCGATCATCACCTGGTCGTGAGTTGGATCCGCTGGCAGGGGAAGAAGCCGGTCAGACCTGGCAGACCCAAGCGTATAGTGAGGGTCTGCTGGGAACGTCTCGCTGAGCCCCCTGTCAGACGGACTTTCAACTCACACCTCCGGGAGAGCTTCTCCCAGGTCCCGGCGGAGGAGGGGGACATGGAGTCCGAGTGGACCATGTTCTCTGCCTCAATCGCCGATGCGGCGGCTCGTAGCTGTGGTCGCAAGGTCTCTGGTGCTGGTCCCGGCGGCAACCCCCGAACCCGGTGGTGGACACCGGCAGTAAGGGATGCTGTCAGGCTGAAGAAAGAGTCCTATCGAGCCATGATGGTTCGGGGGACTCCTGAGGCAGCTGTCCAGTACCGGCAGGCCAAGCGTGCCGCGGCCCGGGCTGTTGCAGAGGCAAAAACCCGGGACTGGGAGGAGTTCGGAGAGTCCATGGAGCATGACTATCGGTCGGCCTCGAAGAGATTCTGGCAAACCATCCGGCGCCTCAGGAGGGGGAAGCAGTTCTTTGCCAACACCATGTACGGTGCGGGTGGAGAGCTGCTGACCTCGACTGGGGATATTGTCGGGCGGTGGAAGGAATACTTTGAGGTTCTCCTCAATCCCCCCGTCACGTCCTCTGTTACAGAGGCAGAGGCTGAGGATGTTGGGGCGGGTACATCCATCTCCCTGGCTGAGGTCACCAAGGTGGTTGGTAGCCTCCATGGTGGCAAGGCTCCGGGTGTGGATGAGATCCGCCCTGATTATCTAAAGTCTCTGGATGTTGTAGGACTGTCTTGGCTGACACGTCTCTGCAACATCGCGTGGCGATCGGGGGCAGTGCCAATGGAGTGGCAGACCGGGGTGGTGGTCCCTCTCTACAAGAAGGGGGACCGGAGGGTGTGTTCCAATTATCGTGGGATCACACTCCTCAGCCTCCCCGGTAAGGTCTACTCCAAGGTACTGGAGAGGAGGTTACGGCCGATGGTCGAATCTCGGATCCAGGAGGAGCAGTGTGGTTTTCGTCCCGGTCGCGGAACACTGGACCAGCTCTATACTCTCCATCGGATACTCGAGGGTTCATGGGAGTTCGCCCAACCTGTCCACATGTGCTTTGTGGATTTGGAGAAGGCGTTCGACTGTGTTCCCCGGGGTGTCTTTTGGGGGGTTCTCCGGGAGTACGGGGTCGGAGGTCCTCTGCTGAGGGCCATCCGATCCCTGTATGACCGGAGCCAGAGCTGTGTTCGCATTGCCGGCAGTAAGTCAGACCTGTTCCCGTGAATGTTGGCCTCCGACAGGGCTGCCCTTTGTCACCGGTTCTGTTCACTGTATTTATGGACAGAATATCTAGGCGCAGCCAGGGGTCGGAGGGGGTCCGGTTCGGAGACCACAGGATTTCATCTCTGCTGTTTGCGGACGATGTTGTCCTGTTGGCTCCAACGAACCAGGACCTGCAGCATGCACTGGGACGGTTTGCAGCCGAGTGTGAAGCGGCTGGGATGAGAATCAGCACCTCCAAATCCGAGGCCATGGTGCTCGACCGGAAAAAGGTGCCTTGCCCTCTGCAGGTGGGTGGAGAGGTCCTTCCTCAAGTGGAGGAGTTCAAGTATCTCGGGGTCTTGTTCACGAGTGAGGGAAGAATGGAGCGTGAGATTGACAGGCGGATCGGTGCAGCGTGCGCAGTTATGCGGTCGCTGTATCGGACCGTTGTGGTGAAGAGGGAGCTGAGCCGAAAGGCAAAGCTCTCGATTTACCGGTCAATCTTCGTTCCCTCCCTCACCTATGGTCATGAGCTTTGGGTAATGACCGAAAGAACGAGATCGCGGATACAAGCGGTCGAAATGAGCTTCCTCCGCAGAGTGGCTGGGCGCTCCCTTAGAGATAGGGTGAGGAGCTCAGTCACACGGGAGGAGCTCGGAGTAGAACCGCTGCTTCTCCACGTCGAGAGGAACCAGTTGAGGTGGCTCGGGCATCTGTTCCGGATGCTTCCTGGACGCCTCCCTGGGCCTTCCGGGCACGCCCCACCGGGAGGAGGCCCCGCGGAAGACCCAGGACACGCTGGAGGGACTATGTCTCTCAGCTGGCCTGGGAACGCCTTGGGGTCCCCCCGGACGAGCTGGAGGAAGTGTGTGTGGATAGGGAAGTCTGGGCGTCTCTGCTTAGACTGCTGCCCCCGCGACCCGGCAACGGATAAAGCGGAAGAAAATGGATGGATGGATGGTAGTACCATGTAATCCTCTTTAGATGCAGAGTGGTCTCGTCTCAACCAGTTCATGGTGTCCTCTGCGTTCCACTTGACCACCTTCCTGCTCTCTGGACTCGCGTTCCTACGGCAACAACAAAACATGACCATCATCTCAGAGAGAGCGCCCCGTCTATGAGAGGTACTGTGTGAAAGAGCCAGAGCCCCTATGGTTCTAAGAGGTCCTGTGTGTGAGCGCCCCCTATGGCTCGGAGAGGAACTGTATGAGGTTTAGGAGTACTCCATGATTATGAAGATCACAGACCTGGAGTCGATCATCTTCTTTGCCGCCTCTGCGTATTTAAACAGAAGTTTACGAGCTTCTTCTTTGTATTTGATCCGAGACAATCTTAAAAATAAAGAGTATTTAAAAGTTCTCAACAGTCAGCAACTGGGTTTAGGGCAGCTGTGGATTAAGTAGTACCTGATGGGGATGTCGTTCATGACCTCTCTGAACATGGAGGGGGAGATGGCTGGGTCACAGTCACTGGGCAGTAAGGGGTCAGACCCTTTATCGATCACCTTCCTCTCCAGGAGCCAGCGGTTGAAGGACTCACGAGGAGGCTCTATGCCTGCACGCACACACACACACAAAGAGACACATATACACAAACAAGTTTTATAGCAGAGTCAAAGTGTGAAACACATAATATATTATCATCAGGCTTTCAAAGTGAACACAAGACTGTACCCTCTCCCTGCGGGTCCATACCCTCTATCTGCGAGTACATACCCTCTCTTTGCAGACACAGCTCGGTGTAGTGCTGTCTCAGTTTGGTGACCAGTTGTGCCCTCTGCAGTTCGATCTCAGGATGAGGAGGAAGAAGAGACGCAGGAGGACGCTCCCTGATGACTGCATTCGTCTGGACATCCAGGTCCCAATAAATACTGTTACACAAATACACATATATACACTGTTATATATACACACACACACACAGACATACTGTTACACACACAACCACAGAGAGCTCCACTTACACTGCCGGCCTGTAGGGGGCAGGAGTGGGCGTGGAGGGAGTGGGCGGAGTCTGTTTTTCTTCTGTCCAGGGTTTGACTCCAGGTGTGGAGGGAGAGATGGGCGTCGAGGGTTCCACCTGCAGGAGGCAGAAGGTACTACAGTGAGTTTGGCACTCTGCAACAGGAAACGCAAACCCAAAACAGGCAACTCTATAATCTTTTGTTGACTTTTGAATGTGCTGGAAACTGCAGCAAGTAGCTCTAAAACAGTTGTCGTTTTGTGCTTTACAATCATGCAGTCCGAACCAAGCAGATCAAGAGTAAATCCACTGGAAGAATGCTAATTTTGTTACAAAAATGCTAACAGAGCGTTCAGAATTTCACTCTGAACCAGAGCAGGTAAAATGGTCCAAACCAAGCAGACTCTGCATACATCAAACAGAGGATAGGAAGCAGTTCATCTCCAGCGGCTGTTCCACCTCTGCTACTGTGACCTGTCCTGCTCTACCCAGCGGCTGCACCACATCTGCTGCTGTGACTGTGACCTAAAGTACTGTTGTACATAAGTACTATTGTTAGTGTTAGTATTGTTGGTGATTTCAATGGTTTGGTTAAGTCCTCTGAGATGACTTCTGTTGTGACCTAGGTACAACAGACCTATTGTATTGTATTAGTCAGTTTTAGAGTTATGCAAGTATTTGTTTGTATGGATGGATGAGTTTCTGCTGCTGGACACCTGAATTCCGCCAACAGGCGATCAATAAAGTATCTATCTAACCCAACCCTAACACAGGCAACCCAAACTTAAACCTAAAAGAGGACACCCTGGGTCAAATGCCCCTCACCTTGGGTCTCTTGTTGCTGCTCTGCTCCTCAGAGATCCTCCTCTTTCTGCCATTAGAGTCTCCTCCTTCAGCAGGTGCAGCATTAAGCCCCAGAGGGTCCGACTGCAGGTAAACAACAACAATAATAAAGACCTCCACTATAGAGGTGTTTGTACAGATTTAAAACACTTTAATAGTATTAGAACTAAAGTATTGCCCTGCGATGCAACAAAACGCAGAAGTGGTGGGTAGGATTTGATGCTCACAAGTTTAAGATAAACGCTTTTAGTGTAAAGTTCTCAAACATGAGTGCAGCTCCGCGGCGTGTCTGTAGGGGCTGTAGGGGCATCCGTGGCTCACGACCCTGCGCCATCGATGTGTTTTATTATTGACCGGTACTTCCTTATCAGAAATCCCGTCAGCAGCACTTGTATCCAGTCACAGATGTCAACTCAGACTGAAGGCATATGTCCAGAAGCACTGTGTCCCCCATTGTCAGTTCTGGTTTAGCTCTGGTTTTGGTTGTCTTCGTCTTCCTGCTCTGACCGGATTGTGTCCCTGTGACCACTTTGCTGCTTTCTGATTGGTTGCCGCTTGTGAATCTAGCAAGAGAGCAATCTTTATATCCTGCGTTTTGACCATAGACATGTACAAATTAACGGACGTAGTCAGCACAAGCCCCATTCATTATCAAAGTTTCACAGTGGCTAAACTAGACTGGTCCAAAAAAAAAAAAAAAAACACTCCTCTCAGCATTGTCACTCATGTGGAACGGAGCTTTGGGCCAAGAGCCAATTTTTGGACCATCCTGTAAACCCGTTTGAGAGGTAAGAAGATAAGTACATTAGCATTGAATAATTCTTATTCCAGGTGCACCGCCATCGCCCCGGTGTGGTATTGCAAGCATGTCAGCGCACGTCATTTTGGACATTTTTGAGCCGGGACTTGTCCCCAATGGTTGATGCATGTGTTGAGACATACATCGCCATTGACTTTGCATGTAAACTCGCCGCAACTAATGGTCCGGTGTGAACCCCTCATTAAACCCTCAACTATAGGACCATGAGCTTTACGACCATCATCTTTAGGATCCTGAACTTTAACCCACAGAACACTGAGATACTCACAATGACGTCATGCTGCCCAAGCACTGGGACTTCCCACAGACTCTGATTAGTGAATCTGTTGAAGTAATACGGACGATTCTCCCGACGACTCCAGCATTTGGACCAGCCAGCCTGGACCAACTCATCTGCAACACAGAGAGAGTTTAGACCCAGACAAACATTGCAAGTCCATGTGGAGAGTCCACATGGTGAGGGTCTTTCTGTTTATGTTGTGTATCCCGGGTCAGGTCCATGTTAAAGCCAGGGTATGGCTTTAATGTACATGGTCAGGGTTAAGGTCATGTGCAGTGCCAGTACATAGTAAATTACCGGCATAATTCAGACGTTATTGTTCACAGTGTAATGATTATAGATTTTGTTTTCTTTTTTACTATACCTGGCAGCTCGGGTGGTTTAGCGTTTGGCGAAAGAGGCGGGGCTTGTGAGGATGCGGGAGCAGCGTCTCCCTTCACTGCAGTCGGATCAGACGCCATCTTTTATTCATCAGCTGAAAACAGGTGAACTTGATTGTAATGAACTCCAAAGGGACAGTCATTATAAAGCTCACCTCCGTAGGACAATTATTACACCGTAACTGACCCTACAGGTCCAGAATGTGTCTCAAACAGGGGTACGCACCCTCATTACAAGAAATGTTCATCACAGGAGACACTGGACAGTAGGGTTAAAGTAGTCCTACAGTTATGATCAGTTACAGAAGCCCTCCAGTAATGGTCAGTATCAGTGCCAGTACATGGTTTATTACAGGCATGAAGCAGACGTTATGCTTAGTTACAGTAGTCCTACAGTTAGGGTCAGTTACAATAGTCCAACAGTTATTGTTCGTTACAGCAGTCCTACAATTATGGTCATTACAGCAGTCCTCCAGTAACGGTCAGGGACAGTGCCAGTACATGGTTTATAACAGGCATGACACAACTGTTATAGTTCACAGTATAATCATGATAAGTTATGTCCACATAACTTCACAGTATTCAACATGAGTTCCACTGTACATACAGAATACAGCTTTATGTAAAATATACGGAGATGTAGTACAGATTGCATACTGAATAACGCTAAATATACATTGTACATTATGTAGCAGTATGTGTAATACATTACACACACACATACATATATTATACTATATATATGAAGATGTTATAACTGTATATGGCTGATGGATGTGTTATGACATCTCCTATGGCTAATGTGTATGTTATAACTGTCTCCTAAGGCTAATGTATATCTTATGAATGTGCCTCCTATGGCTTAAGTGTTTGTTATGACTGTGCCCCTTATGGCTGATGTATTGAGAATGAGGAGTCACGTGCCGAGTTGGGGTGATTTGGGGGGGGCTCTGAGCCTGTCGGACATATTGGCTGCGCAACGGGGGCACGCCCCCAGAATTTCACGCGCTCCTCATATTCCAGAGCACTTTAAATTATACGCATTTACGTTTTCGGCGAGACAGAGACGGATCTACTGATACAACAAGGGAAAGGAAGACAGTAAAACAATGCTTAGAGATAAGGCGAAAGAGAAGGGACCGTACAGGAACAAGCTCATACCAAGCGCAAAACAGAGGTATTTGGAGAAGCTTGCGGACATCAAAAACATCGACCCATACGAGCTCCCTGCAGCGGAATGGCACAGAAACCTGGACCATTTACCTCCGTGCACATACATGGACATAGTTGTTTTGTGTCCCTTTGCACTAAGAAAAGTATGACTCTTATGATCATTTTTGCCTATGCTGTGCATGTTTACATGCTGGAAACAGTACTTTGAATGCACACGTTGTTTAGCAGTGTTTTGTGTCCCTTTGCACTAAGAAAAGTATGACTCTTATTATCATTTTTACCTATGTTGGGCATGTTTACATGCTGGAAACAGTACTTTGACTGCACACGTTTGTAACAAAAAAAATATTCATTTCTCAATAAATATTGGTAAACCATATCAAGTTGTTTCATGCATTTATTTAAAAATAAAAGATACAGTAAAGAATAAGGTACTCAAACAACACTTTTGCACATGTTCGTTAAGGCACAGCAAACAATGACAATCTTATCCAAAGGCATTAGGTTTTCACCCTCACATTTGACAAGCATGTGCACAGGTACAGTTGAGTGTAAGAATTTGAATTTGTTGCGCACAACACCGATCACCCTCTCCACGTGAATTCTGAGATGTGCTATGGCCCTAGTAAACAAACTGTACTGCCGCCACCGGTGCGCAGCCAATATGTCGGCAAAGGGGGGATGGGGAGGGGGGACTCTGTGCCGTGACGTCAACTCCTCATTCTCATATTGAGAATGAGGAGTTGACGTCACGGCATGATATGACTGTGGGGTAAATGCTCACATACGGAGATAAAAACGCGGGAAAGGCGCAAAAAATGGCGGAGTGTTGATAAATCATTCATAGACAGTTGTATGGTCACTCATGCAGGCTGGGGATATACATGCAACCTGAATTTGGTGATTTTAGGTGAACATAAACCTAAACAGCGCCATAGTGACACGCATGCGCAGTGAGCCCGCAGGCCCGCGCGCACAGGAGGAGGAGGCGGGAAAGTGGGGGAGGAAACAAAGGCTTTGGGTCTGAGGAGGACAGAGGGGGATACGGGCCGTAGCGAGTAAACGTGTAACAAACCCGGGCTAACATGGAACAAACCCGGGCTTAAGCAGGGATACACCCTCACCAGACACCCTCTAGACCCACCGCCTGCGTTCCCACACTCCCGATCCTCCACACACCGTCTTCGCTACCCTGTTGTTGTTTTCCCCTCTGGAGCTAAGATGGCGGGCCCGCCCCTGCCACAGCGGTGCGCTTCACTGCGTTTAATCGCGAACAGGGCGCGTATGCGCAGGTTCAGACGAGTGGGTTTGCGCGCATGGAGCTTCCGCAGTCCCCCGGAACAGTCCGGTGCGTGCCCGCGGGCTCAGGACTCACCTACAATGCCTTATAGCGGAGAACTGCGCTGTGTCCTGTGCAGATGGACGGATCTTCAGCTCCACTCCCGCCCCTCTGCGACAGACATCTTTACAGGCACCGAGAGCCGATCTGCGCATGCGCCACACAATACACTCTCCCGCGTCACAGCGGTCGCCATCTTGGTGTTTGATTCATTCTGAAATAGAATGACTTATTCTACAAATCTCTCTTCTTCATGTTCCAACATCGTTCCGAGTCAATCACAGACCTGCAGCTTTCCCCCACCCTGTCAAACTTTTCATTCTTTAATGGATCCTAAAACTGATGTCATGAAAATGACGTTTTTCTTAATTGTAAAACAATAGTTTACACTTTTCCACTTTATTCCATTAAACATTCTAACATAAATATCATGTTTGAGGCACATTAATGAATATATATATATTTTTTATGTTTAAATAAAGTTTCTCCAGCACGACACATACATTGCAGTGGGGGCGGGTCCTGTCTCAAAAGTGGCCAAAATGACTTGCGCTGACCATAGACTGTATATATTAATGGACAGAGTCACGCCTATCTCCGCCGTTCATAGGAGTTGGCCATGAAAAGTGCTTTCATGGAGCAATCCAAGATGGCCGCGAGTGGTCCTGCCCACAAGAAAATTGTGAAAAAACGCAGCTCCATTCATTTGAACGAGAGACTTCAAAAATTCCCCGCGAGTGGACCAAAAAAAATCAACCCCCTCAGCATTGACACACATGTGGAACGGAGCTTTGGGCCAAGAGCCAACTTTTGGTCCATCCTGTAAAGACGTTTTTGAGAGGTCTGCTAACGCTATATGTTAGCATTGGCTAATTCTTCTTCTGGGTCCACCCCCAACGGGCCGGGGTGGTATTGCAAGCATGTCAGCGCACGTCATTTTGGCCACTTTTGTGCTGGGACCCTCCCCCACTGGCGCTGACATGCTTGCAATACCACCCCGGGCCAATGAGGGTGGACCCGGAATGAGAATTAGCTAATGCTAACATATAGCATCTTCTTACCTCTTGAAAACGTCTATACAGGATGGTCCAAAAGTTGGCTCTTGGCCCAAAGCTCCGTTCCACATGTGTGTCAATGCTGAGGGGAGTGAATTTTTTTGGACCACTCTGGTTTAGTCACTGTGAATTTTTGAAGGCACTCGTTTTCTTGAATGGAGCTTGCGCCGGCTGACGCATTCGCAGATGCGTTTTTTCACAATTTTCTTGTGGGTGGGACCACTCGCGGCCATTTTGGATAGCTCCAGTAGAGCACCATTTTTGGCCCATTAGTTTGAACGGCGGAGATAGGCGTGACAACGTCCGTTAATATTTACAGTCAATGATACATTGTCAAAACATCAAAACAACACGAGTAGGGCTTATAGTTTTATTCACTTTGAGGATAAAACAAAGAGGTTCATATTAAACCAAATAGAACAAAATGGAAGTTAAGGTCACCAACAAGTTGGTAATTGTCATACGTCTGACATTACTTTTGGTCAGCACTTGTCAATCACAGAGGATCCCACAGTGACACTGGTCAAATTAAATGCTTTAACAGGATGTATCACATGCATAAGCCTTCTGACCAACCAATTTACCCAAGCGACTGGTGTAACGTTGACAGATGTGTGTGATATACATTTGTGTAACAAACGTGTGTGTAACAGACTTGTGTGTAACCATGTGAGACGCACAAGTTTCACTGCTGGTGTAAACTGTCAAGATCATTACAGGTCTAATCCGTTATGAGGGACTGACAGATGATCCGTGAGAGGAGCAGCTTTAATCATGATTACTCCTGATGCCCTCTCTGTACAGGATCAGCTCCAGCGCCTCCTCCACATCTTGAACCGTGTGTCGTGGCTGCAGAAGCTCCGCCTCCAGTCCTGCCCACTGGTCTGAGGGGGGTGGGGCAGAGGTGGGGTCGAAAACACCTGTGCACACCTGAACACACAAAGATACAGATACACAGACACAAATACATACACATAAACACACACAAAAAAACACACACATACACCGATGTGAGTTAGTTTTGGTGATTTCACAGGTGAAATGACATTCTTTACAGGATACAGTCAATTTGAAAGGGCAGCTCTTTCAAACTGACCACGCAACCTTTAACTGACCACTCCCCCTCAGACTGACCACGCCCCCACCCTTCTATGGTCCCTTGTGAATTGAATCCCATGTGTGCTTCAAGGGTGCGTTGGGACCGTGGGGACATGTTGGACTCTCATGGTCACATTCTAGATCTAATCTGCTCCTCTGCCTCGCTATCAATCCACAATATCACACGCACACCAGACCTCACTTTTTCTGACAACCTCACTGTCCCCATGGACAGTATCATACCCACTCAAATTCCTGCCTGAACCAGTTTGCTCCCCTCCTGCCACAGCCTCTTTTTCCACCTCTGCCTCTTAGTACACCCAAGATCTCCACAACCTCAAAAAGAAGCACAGACAGCTTGAGAGACTCCATGCCAAGAACGGTCTTACTGTTCACGCTGAAGCCTATAATACAGTGCCTTGCGAAGGTATTCGGCCCCCTTGAACCTTTCAACATTTCGCCACATTTCAGTCTTCAAACATAAAGATATAAAATTTTAATTTTGTTTCATGAATCAACAACAAGTGGGACACAATCGTGGAGTGGAACGAAATTTATTGGATAATTTAAACTTTTTTAACAAATAAAAAACTGAAAAAAGGGGCGTGCAATATTATTCGGCCCCTTTACTTTCAGTGCAGCAAACTCACTCCAGAAGTTCAGTGAGGATCTTTGAATGATCCAATGTTGTCCTAAATGACTGATGATGATAAATAGAATGCACCTGTGTGTAATCAAGTCTCCGTATAAACGCACCTGCTCTTTGATAGTCTTAGGGTTCTGTTTAAAGCGCAGAGAGAACCATGAAGACAAAGGAACACACCAGACAGGTCCGAGATACTGTTGTGGAGAAGTTTAAAGCCGGATTTGGAAGATTTCCCAAGCTTCAAACATCTCAAGGAGCACTGTGCAAGCAATTATATTGAAATGGAAGGAGTATCAGACCACTGCAAATCTACCAAGTCCCGGCCGTCCCTCCAAACTTTCATCTCAAACAAGGAGAAGACTGATCAGAGATGCAGCCAAGAGGCCCATGATCACTCTGGATGAACTGCAGATAACTACAGCTGAGGTGGGGATGGTGTGTTCAGGGTGATGAGCTGTGTTGCTTTTACACCAAACATATCGTTTTCCCTCTTACCATCTCCCCATTGAAACCCATTCCCCTGTCAACCTACTCAGAAATCATAGCCCTTACTCCTTGCTCTCAACAGTCAACACCGCCGAGCTCCTCTCCAACATGGAACTCAGCACCTGCCACCTTGACCCCACTCCATCCCTCTCCTGAAAGCCTGCCTCCAATCTCTGACCCCACTCATCACAAACGTCATAAACTCCTCCCTCACCACCGGTACTGTCCATGTCAATCTCAAATTTGTCACTATCAAGCCGCTCCTCAAAACACCCAACCTGGATCCTGAAAACCTGAACAACTTCTGACCCATCTCAAATCTCAATAATCTTAGAGCATGCCGAACTCCGACAACACCTCCACACCTATCCTATCCCATAGTTTCTATCCCATCACAGCATCAAAACCGCACCCCTAAAAGTATCCAACAACCTCCTCCTTCCAGCTGACTTCGGTTCCACTTCCATCCTCCTCCTTCTTGATATCTCAGCTGCATTGCCTGCCTGCTAACCCACACCCGCTCCAGAGACCACATCACCCCCATCCTCAAACAACTCCACTGGCTCTCTGTTCCATACCGCATCCAATACAAGGTCCCCCTCCTCACCAACAGGTCCCACAATAACATGGCCCCTTCATGCCACACAGTTCCCCTCCATCATCACTGTCCACCATCTCAGATCCACAGACTCCAATCTCCTCACTCCCCTCAGAATTAAACACCAAACCTTGGGGGACTGAGCCTTTGCTGCAGCTACCTCCACTCTCTGGAGCTTACTCCCACAACCCATCAGACCTGTTTCTAATAGCCTTTTTTTAGTTTTTTGTTCTTCAATGTTTATTTTGTATGTTTTGTAAAGCGTATTTGAGTGTCCAAAAAGGTGCTATGTACAGTGGGACTAAAAAGTATTTACTCAGCCACCAATTGTGCAAGTTCTACCACTTAAAAAGATGAAGGAGGCCTGCAATTTAGATCACAGATAAACCTCAACTATGACAGACAGAAAGAGAAGAAAAAATCCAGAAAATTACATTGTTTGATTTTTACAAGAATTATTTGCAAATCATAGTGGTAAGTATTTGGTCAATAACAAAAGTTTATCTCAATACTTTGTTATGTACCCTTTGTTGGCAATTACAGAGCTCAAACGTTTTCAGTAAGTCTTCTTGACAAGGTTTTCACACACTGTTGCTGGTATTTTGGCCCATTCCTCCTTGCAGATCCCTTCTAGAGCAGTGATGTTTTGGGGTTGTCACTGGGCTACACGGACTTTCAACTCCCTCCAAAGATTTTCTATGGGGTTGAGATCTGGAGATTGATTAGGCTACTCCAGGACCTTGAAATGCTTCTTACAAAGCCGCTCCTTCGTGGCCCGGTTGGTGTCTTTGGGCTCATTGTCATGCTGAAAGACCCAGCCACGTTTCATCTTCAATGCCCTTGCTGATGGAAGGAGGTTTTGAGTCCCTGTCGTCGTAGTGTGTTACTGATGGTAACCTTTGTTACTTTGGTCCCAGCTCTCTGCAGGTCATTCACTAGGTCCCCCCGTGTGGTTCTGGGATTTTTGTTCACCGTTCTTGACCATTTTGACCCCACATGGTGATATCGTGTGGAGCCCCAGATCGAGGGAAATGATCAGTGGTGATGTATCTCTTCCATTCTCTAATAATTGCTCCCCCAGATGATTTCTTCACACCAAGGTATCTTTTTTATCCCCTAGGCTCAATTTGGTACACATATTGTACACATTTGACATTTGGTACACAGATACACGTATACAAGGAAACAAAGTTATACAGCAGAATTACAGATATCTAATATCAAAGGCAAGAGGGATAAAAGAGTTCTCAAATCTGTTAGTCCTGCATTTACTGGAGCTATATCAGGGAGGGTGGTGTCTGCAGGGAGGGTGGTGTCTGTGGAGATCTGCTTGGCTCTTCTTAGGATCTGAGTCCTGTCAATCAATAATTCCAGCTCCTCGTTTTTGTCAGGAGAGGGAAAATCCTCTGAAGAAGCGATTGACGCAATTAAAAAATAGGTTCAGTTCATTTGCCAACACAATGTCTGTTTTTGTGCCACACAAGATATGATTTTTGAAGGTTTGCATCCCCATCATGGATTTAATGCCCTGCCAAGCAGGATGAGAGTGGCCAGAGCTCAACAGATGTTCAATTTTGTCCTTGTAGGCGATTTTTGCCACGTTGAGGTCTCATCTGACTTCCCTTTTAAGTTCAGCTTTTTATCAGGCTGTGTCTCCCTGATTAAAAGCAATTCTTCTCCTATTTATAGTACTTTTCGCTGATTTAGAGACCCAAGGTTTATTAATTGGGAAAATTCTCACTGTCTTTCTAGGAATGATGGTTTCCTCATAAAAAGTTATGTTTGAATAAACTGTGTCAGTGAGTTCATTTAGGTCACTGTGCATGTTAATAAATAGATCCCAGACAGTGAAGCTATAGCAATCCTGAAGATTCTTAATGGAGTCTTTGGACCAGACTTGTAGGACGGAACTAAATAAACAGTTCTGTGATCAGACATGCTGAGTGGGGCTCTGAGTAAGGATTTATAAGCTCCCGTTATGAAGCCAAAGCACAAGTCCAGGCTTTTGGAGTTACAAGTAGGTCAAGTCACGTACTACTGAAAACTACAGAAAGACCTTCCCGGTTTGCAGTTGTTAAAGTCCCCCATGACGAATAAAGGTGCGTCCGAGGTGATCTGCTGAAGACGCTGTACCGTATCCCTGATAGCTCTAGCTGCCCTGTCAGCGTTGGCTTTGGGATGAATGTACACTACAATCACAAACGATTGTGGGAATTCTCGGGGTAAATAATAAGGACGCATTGACATGGCCAACAGTTCGATATCAGGAGAGCATATCGTTTCTCTAATTATAACCGTGTCACACCAGTTACGATTGACATAAAGACACACGCCACCACCAAGAGACTTCCCCATCAAAGTGGCGTCTCGGACAAGCCTGAAAGGGACCCCAAAGCGGTCAATCTTGAGGTCAGACTGGGGATTGTGATCTTTAAGCCACAGGAGGGACTAGCGGTCATACTGGATGTGGCTCCTTACTTCAAATAATCCGTGCAACAAATGACAGCATATCACGGAGGATAAACAATCTCTTTACATTCAAGTAAGTTAACGCAACCATCTTGTCACAGAAATAGTGACTGTTAATCATTAAAGTGATGCAAAGCAATGTGGCTGCATGTCGCCATAACCAGCGCCATGTCATAGTACAGTAATGATATGCACCAAGCTACTTACCTATTGCAGATTCAGTCTTCCCAGTCTGGTGCAAGTCTACAAATTTGTTTCTGGTGTCCTTTAACACCTCTTTGGTCGTGGCCATAGTGAAGTTTGACTGTTTGAGGTTGTGAAAATTCATACTGATGACGAGCTCAAACAGGTGCCATTAATACAGGTAACGAGTGGAGGACAGAGAAGCCTCTAAGAGAAGGAGCTTCAGGTCTGTGAGAGCCAAGTCACCTACTGTCACCTACTGTTTGTAGGTGACCAAATACTAATTTTTCACCATGATAGTATGAGGTATACTATACATGATGAAAATTACAGGCCTTCCTCATCTTTTTAAGTGGGAGAACTTGTATAGCTGGTGGCTGACTAAATACTTTTTTCCCCCACTCTAAGTCCTTCTCCAGAGCGGCAGCACTTCACCCGCTCATCTCTTTGGGCAGTGATTGACTGTCTTTCTCGCTCATACGTGCACTTGTTGATAAAATAACAAAGTGCTAAATTCTACAAGTAGCTAGCTTGTTTAGTTTACTTTCTAGTCAAGTAAAGTCCGACACATTCAGGCACATTCTATGGATTGGCATTGCTTTCTGGTAAGAAATCAATAAAGCCAGTGTCAAGAAAAGCTTTATTTACGTATATTCATGTTTTAATCTCTACTGCACTGGGAAGGGCCTTACAAAGTTGTGTTCGTCAGCAACAGATTAGAAAATCAAACAGTTCGAACACAGGAAATGCAATAAAAAACAAACTCAGGAGCCATTGGTCCATAGGAAGCAGGATGACCACTGTCCAGAAATGTAAATGTGCAAAAATGTCTCTAATAATCACTGTCCTTAGACAATCCTGCATTGGCAAGAAACCAGGATTGAGGCTGTAGATCCTAGACTGAGATTGTAGATCCTGGGCTAGAGCCCTGCCCCCTAGGCCCGAGGGTCCCGATAGCCTGACAACCGGAGGACCGGGCTTCGGCTCGATGACCGTATAATTACCTCGAACACGGCCTGGGCTCAGGCACTTTTATTTATTCATTTTCAGAGCGGCAGATTAAATTTACGAAGGCATCCAATAAATATAGCGTTCTATTACGCTGTAGCATTTGCTGTTCTGTATAGTATTGTCATTGACGACACATAGAGTTACCTTCAAGTGTGTTGTTGTTTTTTGCGGCATCTGTGTATCATACAGCTGCGGTCGTTCACTCTAGCCGTACACCCAGAACTCATTGCAACACATCACTACCATGTGTAACTCTGCCCTCTAGCCGGGCCTGTGTTCATATCAGTGTGCGGCACTATATACTACGCTAAAACATTGTTATGGGGGGTTAAAAAAAAAAAGAAGTGTGACTTGATATGGGTTCGGGCCCTGAGAATTCAGAAATAATGTCGGGCGGGGCCAGGCTGGGGCGCCACCCCCTTGGGCCAGGGCCGGGCTCAGGGCAGATAAAAGGACCGTGCAGGGCTCTATCCTGGACTGAGGCTCTAGATCCTGGACTGAGGTTGTGGACCCAGGACTGAGGCTGTAGATCCAGGACTGATACTGATGCTGACTTGATCTGAGGCTCTCTGGGTGTTAGGGTTAGATTGGTCACAGTGGGTTTGTTTGTTACCAGCACAGAGCGACACTCCCGGGCCCCAGAAACCAGCTCCGCCTCTTCTTCAATGACTCCACCTCCTCCTGTTGCCATGGAGACACTGCGTACCTCTGCGGTCACGGCCTTGTGTTTGAGGAAGCGGTCGTAGAGGTTGGCTCCATAAACGTCAGTCAGAGGATTGTCCCTGGGCACGAGACCACAGACAGATCAGTTCTGGACCCGGTCCTGAAGCAAGTCCCGGACAGAGTCATGGACCCAAGTCCCGGACCCTAAAGTCTAGACCCTATGTTTTTTTTAAATCTGCCTTAATAGTAGTAGGAGTAGTAGTCACAATAGTAGTAGTAGCAATAGTAACTGTAGGGGTCTTACCCGATGGCGTAGATGGTCTTGAGTTTGGCGGTGGGGTTTGATGATGTCATTTGAGATGTCAGCACGTGTTCCGCATAGCGATAGGTCAGAATGCTGGGTTTCCCCAACAACGCCTCAATCTGAAGCTCCGCCCCTGACAACCGCTTAAAGACCGCCTCCAAACACAGCACGAATACTCCATGTCCAAACCTATAAAAGTATTACAATTACTGCAAGTACTAATGCTTTAAATGCAAGTACTGTGAGGAAAATTGTATTTGTATTATGAGTAGTAGTATTGTAAGTATTGGTATTTGTACCTGGGGGAGGGGGCAGAGCTCTTCCACAGGAAGTCCGGGTTACACACGATGACTGGTAACTGAGGGGCGGAACCTGGAGGCAAGTGGGCAGAGCCTGGACTCCCATTGGTCAAGATGACATCAATCATGATCTGAAGGTGACTCTCCCAGTGGGTGGGTTCTCCGAACAGTAGCAGTGCTATGAATATATTGTATATAAATTACTGCACAGACACACACACAAACACACATAAAACACTCACCCTGAATCTGTGGCAGCTTCTGCAGTTGGGACTGAAACACAGAGGTCAGAGTTCAGCCACACCCCTCACCTGAATGAGTGTGAGACTCTGTAAAGGCTGTAATGTACCTGAGCTGGCCTGGGACTGTGCTCCACCACGTCCAGCAGAGGACAGTGTTTCCTCACATCGTCGACAGTCACCACATTCTGAAAGCCCAGCCTTCAAAATAAAACACACACTCCTGTTACTGTAGAGAAGCCTGAGGCTCTCTCTCTGGTCACTCTCTGATCTCTCTCTTGTGTCTTTCTGGTCTCTCTCTCTAATTTTACCTTCTCAGCGGCCCCTGTGGTGTGCCGCAAGGTTCTATTTTAGGTCCCATTTTATTCTCTATTTATTTGCTCCCCCTAGGATGTTATGGCCTGTCATAAAGTGTCCTTCCACTGCTATGCGGACGACACACAGATATACCTCCTGCTGAGACCAAACGACCCTGGAAGTCTGGCTGCTGTGGTTGACTGTTTTAACGATGTGAACAGTCCTCCTCATCAACCCGCCCCCATCAACCTCCCACATCCAAACCCACCTTAGCCCCTAGTCATCAAACATCACTCCATCCGCCCATAACCTCTGTGTCATTTATTTTTAATTCTCACCTCACCTTCTGCTCCCACATCAAACAAACCACCCAATCCAGTTTCTTTCACCTCCTCACTATCTCCAAGATTAAAAACATTCTCACTCCTGCCGATCTCCATGAAGGAGTCAACGCCCTAATCTTCTCCCGCCTGGATTTTTGCAACACCCTCCTCTCCGGTCTTGATTCCAAATCCCTCTCCCACCTCCAACTGGTCCAGAACCCAGCAGCCAGACTTCTCACTGGTTTTAACAGGAGGGAGCACATCACCCCTGTTTTAGCGTCTCTCCACTGGCTCCCTGTGCGTTTTAGAATTGATTTTAAGATTTTACTGATTACTTTTAAAGCTTGTTTAGTTCTGGCAACAAGCTATATTTCTCTCTCTCTGGTCTCTCTCTGGTCTCTCTCTCTGATCTCTCTGGTCTCTGATTGGCTCCCAGCTGTCCACTCTCTCTCACCTCTTGTCTCTCTCTGATTGGCTCTCACCTCTGGGCGATGTCTCTGATTGGTCCCTGGCCTGACACCAGGACGTGTTTGTGATGAAGACTTTTCATCATCGTCAGTGGAGAATATGATAGGACAACCTGCTCAGGACGCACCTGTCAATCAGAGAAAACAGCCTATCAGAGCACTGTATGGGTGTGCTGCCAGCTCATTGGCTCTGACCAAGCCCCGGCGATTCAAGATGGCGCCGTATTCAAATGAATGGTTGTGCTCAGTGGCGCTTTGTGCCGGCACGGTTGCTGCATGGATCATTATAATATCTGGATAGGGTATTACTAGCTTGTAGCTGAATAACTCATGTGCTTGGGGGATTCTGGCGGTACTGCAGACTAAACCAGACTAAATTCACGTGGGCTACCCAGACATTTTCCCCATAGAACTCAATGTAAATTAAAACAGCTCGACCTCAGCTGACAGAGAACCTACAGCTTTCATAAAGATCGGATTTTGTGGGGATTTTAGTGTCCCTTATCATCCTGAACTTTTTTTCTTCTTAAATCCTTCGGTTTTCTTTAAATCCACACTTTAGTGCCACAAACTCTGCTCGTGTGGCTCCCGCTCTAACTCCCGCTCTGATGAGCGGCTCTGATTGGTCAGAGCGCAGCCGAGCCCCTCTGTGCACGTGCGTAAGACCCGGTGTGAGACCCACACTGCGCAGAACCGGGAGGACCTGACAATGCCCAAATACAGGCGAGTTTCCCATAGATCTTTGCGAGTTCCAGGCGACTTCCGCTAATCTTTCAGCCCCCATGGCGTCACAAAGCGCCACTGAGCACAACCATTCATTTGAATAGGGCGCCATCTTGGATCGCCGGGGCTTGGGTCGCTGACATATTAGCAGAACTCGCCTGTATTTGGGCATCGTCTGGTCCTCCCTGCTCTGCGCAGTGGATTATCTCCCATGATGCGTTGCGCCAAATATGCAAGGCGACAGTGGCTCAGTTGGTAGAGCATTGGCCTTTGGGCCTGAAGGTCGTGGGTTCGAGCCCACCATAAGACCTACTTCACGACTCCCACTGATGACTGCTGTCGTTGTGTCCTTGGGCAAGACACTTAGCCCCACTTTGCCTGAAGCTCCCACTGAAAGATCTCAGCTCCTGTGGACTCACCACCTGCAGGAGGATCAGTGAGGGGCTGGTGCTAAGTGTACTGGGTGCAGCTCTGACTGCCACCCCCCCGACCCAGAAATGGATTAAGGGGAAGAAAATGGATGGATGGATGGATGGGTCTCATGCACGCACACAGAGGGGCTCGGCCGCGCTCTGACCAATCAGAGCAGGAGTTAGAGCCAGAGCCAGACGAGCAGAGTTTGTGGCATTAAAGTGTGGATTTAAAGAAAACCGAAGGATTTAAGAAGAAAAAAAGTTCAGGATGACAAGGGACACTAAAATCCCCACAAAATCCGACCTTCATGAAAGCTGTAGGTTCTCTGTCAGCTGAGGTCAAGCTGTTTTAATTTACATTGAGTTCTATGGGGAACATTTCTGGGTAGCCCACGTGAATTTAGTTTGGTTCAGTCTGCAGCACCGCGAGAATCCCCTGAGCACATGAGTTCTTCAGCTATAAACTAGCAATACCCTATCCTGTTATTATAACAGATCCATGGCTCTGACCTGGGCCTGCAGCAGCTCTGACAGCTGATTGGCTCTCTGCTCGCGATGACAGCTTCCTGCATTGGTCAGAAACACCACAGGAAGCAAGAAGTCCTTATTTGGCCGTTGGAGCTTCCGGAACATTCTGAGCGCCGCAGGAAGTGGAGAGCGACCACGAAGAAGGACACCATCCACGTCCACAAGCAGACCAGCCTGAGGACAAGAGACCAGGTTTGAGACTGGAGACCATGTCTAAGACCAAAGACCAGGTCTGAGACCGGAGACCAGGTGTAAGATCTGAGAGACCAGGTCTAAGACCAGAGAGACCAGGTCTGAGACCAGAGAGACTAAGTCTGAGACCAAAGACCAAGTCTGAGACCAGAGATCAGGTCTGAGACCAGAGGCCATTTCTCAGACCAGAGGCCATTTCTGAGACCAGAGACCATGTCTGAGACCAGAGACCAGATGAGACCAGAGACTCTTTCTGAGACCAGAGACCATGTCTGAGACTAGAGACCAGATCTGAGACCAGAGACTAGAGACCGGGTCTGAGACCAGAAGCCAGAGAACATGTCTGAGACCAGAGAAGGAGGGAGATCAAAGAGAGACCAGAGAAAGTGACCAGAGAGAGGCCGCACTCACTCCAGTTACAGTTGTGGAGCAGCAGAATGTTTGATGTTGTTATAAATGATGAGACAATAAAAAATAAAAAAACATGACAAACAATACCACCACTGTTCAATCTTAACAAAACACAAAACTCTTAGCCTTGAAAAAATATATTTTTTATAATAATGTCTGTTTACTTTTTGAAATTGTGAACGGTTTTATAGCCCCGCCCCTCAGGAAACATGTCTCTGAAAAAATGACACGCGCCACTCAAGCTACAGAACGAGGAGAGTGCGGCGTCCTAAAATGTAGGACTTCTTTCAGTAGGTCCACTGCAACACACCCCCAACTGAGATCATCACCTGCACTGAACTAAAAGCATTCACATACCTGACAAAAACATGGCTCTTGGAAAGGCATCTCTGTTCCCATGTGTGATGAGTGTCTGCGAAAGTGTGTGTGTGTGTGTGTCTCTGTGTGTGTGCGTGTGTGTGTGTGTGTGTGTGTGTGTGTGTGTGTGCGTGTGCCTGTGTGAGCTCTGTATAGGAATGTATGAAAGTAAAGAATGTGGGCTGGGTGCTTTTATTTTAATATAACCTGTGGTAAATTAAAGTGTAATTTCTGTCTGATAATGTGTCCATCTATTTTATTTTACTGTTTTACAACAACCAGCTCAGGGACTACAGGTGTAAATTAGCACTGCTGCTACAACCTGGTACAATGCATCCCTCCTTTGGCTAATGTTTATTGTACACTGTCCCTGTAAAAATAAAAATAAAACATACAAACCTGAGCAGCTCTGTGGGACAAACGTCTGGACAAGAAGAGACCTGGAGACCACATCCTGGACTGGCTCTGGTCTGGTTAGGTTTAAGTCCTGGTCCTCCGTAGGTCTGGATTTGCTGAGGTCTTTCTCTAGTCTGGCTGTAGTCCTGGTCTTGTCTAGTCTCTGCTGTAATGTTGGTCTCTGGTCTCTCTCTTGTGTCTGGTCCCTGCTGGAGTCTTGGTCCCTGGTCTCTCTCTGGTCTCTCTCTGGTCTCTCTCTGGGCTCTCTCTGGTCTCTCTCTGGTCTCTCTCTGGTCACTGGTCTCTCCTTGGTCTCTTTCTGGTCTCCGGTCTCTCTCTGGTCTCCCTCTGGTCTCTGGTCTCTCCTATCGTTCTCAGTGGTTTTGGTCTTGTGAGTCTGGTGACCAGTGAGGTTCTTCATTAACTCGTTAAACTCTGGAATCTGACTTTAAGATTCCAGGTTCAGAACTGGTTTAGATAGTGTTCAGTCCTGGTTCAGACTTGATTTATTCCTGGTTGAGACCTCGTTCTAACCTGGTTCAGACCTGGATCAGTCCTTGTTTAGACTTGATTCATAGAAATCATGGACCTCCATCATGGACAACACCTCCCACCCACTGCACAGGACTGTAGAGCAGCTGCTCTTTCAGAATACTGAGGCCCCCTCAGTGCTAGAAGGAGTGCTATCACAGGGCCTTCATGGCTGTTACACTGTAAAATCACTTTAATTGTAACTGTATATAAAATACCTTGCTCAAAGATAGTATATTTTTTCCCTTTTTAACATTCCTGTTTCCCTGTTTGACATGTCCTGTCTTTTTGAACACCCTGAGTGATCATATTTATGCCAAATGTGACATGTAAATGTCTCCATTGAGAGATCAATAAAGTTTATCTTTTCTTATCTGTTACCTGGTCCATGTTGTCCTCACAGACCTGAGCTGAAAGAACAGTCTGCCACAGGGCAGCTGTGGCAAAACTGATACAATTAAACTATATACAGGTATAAATCACTAACGTGGGCACAGCTGCCCTGGGGCAGACTGTGGGAAGTGTGGCTGTTTATAGCCTCCCTGTAACCCTGCTCCCACCACACAAGAGCAGTACAGGACTGGGTTAAGAAGAAGAAGAAGATCCTTTATTCCTCCCCCAAAGGGGAAATTTCAGTTTGATGCATACACATCAAGGCAAGCAGCGAACATCACTTCCGCACTCCATATAGACAAAGTGGGTTGAGTGTCTTGCCCAAGGACACAATGACAGCAGACATCAGTGGGAGTCGCTGGAGAAGGTCTCGTGGTGGGTTCGACCTTCGGGCCCAAAGGCCAATGCTCTACCAACTGAGCTACTGTCGCAGTTAGAGGACTGGGCAACAGGACTGGGTCAGAGAGTGTAGTTTTAAAATGTTTAAACTGCCAGTTATTTTTTTCACAAAAGTATATGTAGAATTCGCAGTCTCAGTTTCAGTCACAGTTTATTACTGTCTATAACAATTTCTTTACAACCTGTACTAAAATATAAATTAATCTGTAACATTTTCAATTACCTTTTAAAAAAACATGTTTTCAAATATCTTAAATAAACACATAACTATCATTTCTATATGCGCACACATTTATTTTCTTTTATATTACAATGGAGGCATTTTGTTCAATCATTTTTTATTTTCCATGTTAGTAACAGGAAGTCACAGACTAGGAAATTGCTTTTGCTCTCAGTGTAAGCTGAGAAAAAATAGGAGTAAAATTATTAAGATTATTACTATATACAAGTGCACTCGTTGCACACAATATACAATATACAGTGAGGCAATATAGTGTTTAGTCAGCCACCAACTGTGCAAGTTCTCCCCCACTATTTTGGCCCATTCCTCCATGCAGATCTCCTCTAGAGCAGTGATGTTTTGGAGCTGTCGCTGGCAACAGACTTTCAACTCCCTCCAAAGATTTTCTATGGGGTTGAGATCTAGAGATTGGCTAGGCCACTACATGACCTTGAAATGCTTCATATGAAGCCACTCCTTTGTTTCCCAGGGTGGTGTGTTTGGGATCATTGCCATACTGAAAGACCCAGCCACGTTTCATCTTCAAAGCCCTTGCTGATGGAAGGAGGTTTTCATTCAAAATCTCACGATACATGGCCCCATTGATTTTTTCCTTTACACGGATCAGTCGTCCTTGTCCCTTTGCAGATAAAACAGGCCCAAATCATAATGTTTCCACCCCCATGCTTCACAGTAGGTATGGTGTTCTTTTGGATGCAACTCTCCTTCAAACACGACAAGTTGAGTTTTTACCAAAAAGTTGTATTTTAGTTTCATCTGACCATGTGACCATGTCCTCTTCTCCAAATGCTTTCTAGCAAACTTCAGGTGGGCCTGGACATGTCCTGGCTTAAGCAGAGGGACACGTCTGTCACAGCAGGATTTGAGTCCCTGGTGGCGTAGTGTGTTTACTGATGGTCCCGGCTCTCTGCAGGTCATTCACTAGGTCTCCCTTTGTGGTTCTGGGATTTTTGCTCACCGTTCTTGAGGAGAGATCTTGCGTGGAGCACCAGATTGAGGGAGATTATCAATGGTCATGTATTTCTTCCATTTTCTTACTAATTGATTTCTTCACACCAAGCTGCTTACCTGTTACAGATTCAGTCTTCCCAGCATGGTGCTCTCTCTCTTTCACTCTATGTATATATCGTTTGAATGGATGTCACCTCGACAAGAGGCAATTTAAAAAATGATAACAAACCACATAATAATTCAGTCTATGGGACAGTCTATTGCAGTAAATGTGACGCATATGAAACATTACACGTCACATTTACTGATGAGTTTATTTGTTCTTATAATTAAATTAAATAAAACATCTTCTCCAACACAATCGTTTACTGGTTATTCTTTATTCCTGCTCGGAACCCTTGTTCACAGGCTCTGTTCCTTCCGGTGCCTGGTCTTTGCCCTCCTCGATGCTCCCTGATAAACCTTCCCCCGGTGCTCCGTCATAAACCTTCCCCTCGGTGTCCCTCCTTAACCGCTCCCCCTCTAGATCTCCGGGCTCCTCGGTCTCCCGGTATCTCCCGTATCGGCGTCTCAATCCGCGGATATCTCCGCCATCAAAGCTGCAATCATGGTGAGTGTGAGCCGGCCTTCAGAACAGCCCCACACAGGGATCAATCCAGGGTGATGTGTGTACAGATGGCCCGGGAAAAGAGACTATACCCCGGCTAATAACAGAGCCGGTCTGCGCCGCAAAGCCTGAGCTACGTCGCAGTTACGTTCGTGTTTACGCTTTGAATTAAACTTTCTGTTTTACAAACATAAGCAGATGTTTAAACGGTTCTTGAAACCCTTCTGGTTAAACCCGAGCCGTGAGTCCGAGAGGCGGGTTCAGTCTGTAGAATTAGCCCTTTCTATAACGAAAAGTGTTATTGTAATGTTGGGGTCTCCAGCCTTTTTCACCCGGAGAGCTAAGTTAGGTCTGAAGTGGCAGATGTCTTGGCTACAGCTTTTAGGGGTCTGGGGGTGAAAACGTGAACTCTGGGTCTTATGTCCAGTTTAATACCACTTTACACTAGTTGTAGCATCTTCTTACGTCCCGAAAACGACTTTACAGGATGGTCCAAATGTGTGTTAATGCTGATGGGAGTATGTTTTTAGACCACTCCAGTTTAGTCGCTTTGGAATTTTGAAGGCTCTCGTCAAATGAATAAAAACAAACTTTTATCCTTGAACAGTCAGGACAAAGTGCCTTATTACTGGATAAGAAATCATTATTCTCCTAATAGGCATCATGAAGGGTGATCTCCCAGCACATCACTTAAATTATTAAAATACAAAAGACTAGAGTAACAAGCAGAGCAGACACAATAGAGTAACATAAACCTCAGAATAATCCTGGAGTTACGCGTTGTACTGGTTGTGATTAAGCCATTCTCATTTGAACTTTCTGTTGAATAAATTCACCAAAACAAAGCATCACAAGCGCCTCTTTGCGGATGCAATATGTAAATGACCAGAACAAACTCTGAGAAAACACACAAGTGAAACAGATCATTTATTTAAATATCTCATTCCTTTCCTATACTGTATTGATTGAATCACAAAATATTGCAATACTGAAGATTTTATTTATTCCCCTCCCCCACCACTAATCTTGGTTAAACTGTATGAAAAACACTGTCCAATGGTTATCTTCAAACTCCTTGGATGACAAAAGGCCTCACCAACTCCTGCATAAAGAACAATGATCTCTATAATGATATAGATAATTCTGTATTTTTAAATACTTCTAATGGTGCTTTCAGACTGGATCATGCGTTGCGTCGGGTTTCAATGCAAAGTCTATGGTGACGCGCGCTTCGGCCGTCGCAACGCACAGACCGCTCGATTCGCACAAACGGACTGTTCAGTAGACACGCACGGACTTGGCGGGAAAGTGAAAGGAGGAGCAGGAGCGAAAAATCGACGCCCACAGGAGCTGGATTCTGCTCATCCTTTCCTTGGGACGTTCGTGCGACAACCAATCAGAGAGCCGCAAAGTGGTCACGGGGACATTAGCGGACTGAGCGAGCAGACTGAAAATACTCGTAAACAGCCAAAACAGGACCCACACCAGGCTTCACCAGAACTCAAACCAGGGTTGAGAATGGTGGACTCTGTGCTTGTGAAAATATGCTTTGTCATGCTCCCGTGACCTTAGGCAACTGCTTCGAGTGTGTTCGCCGATGCGGAAATTCCGTTTAATAATATGAAAAAACGTATGGTGCACCTCCGTGAACACATACTGCTGTTATATAAAGCCCGTGGAAAGTCTCTGAGCAAAGACACGCTGCAAAGCTGCATATTGGAGAAGATCTATACACAAGAAGCCGCTAGCATAGCTCTGTTAGCATTAGAGCCGGCCGGCTACTTTCGGTACTTCCGGCTCTCGTCAGGACGTTCTGGTGTGAAGACTCCTGCGTCTGAAAACTAGAGGATGCATGTCTGGTGAGCGGGTTTCAGCGTTTCAGCGTTGGCGGTGTGAAAGCCCCATAACCCTTCTACTTTTGGGTTAGGGATTTGGGATACACGTGCACCGGTGTCCTGCCGAGTTGTGCCGCTCTGCCGAGTTGTGACGCCCAGCTGTTAATGATTTAATGCAAATCTGCGCATGCGCGTCACCGGCGTGCACGTGTTAAGAATGTATATGTGTAATATATAGCGAACTATCTGAAAGACGTCACTATGACACGCCTGTCAACTCCTGCCCACATGTTTTGGACAAACGCTGCCGAAATGAATCAAATACCACTTGTCACTCTAGACAAAAATGATACACCAGGAGCAAAATTCCACCATCAAACCATTGGGGATCATAGTGATGCCCAATTAAAACGTTGGCTTGAATGTCATGGTCTACCAGCAACTGGTAGAAAGGTTGAATTGATAAAAAGGTAATGGTGAAGATTATGCTAATATTATCTTGTCATTTAAATTGCAATGCTAGCGCCTTCTTTGTTTATTTTGCTGAGATTAACTTCCATTTATCAAGTAAATGTTTTTTTTTTTTTTTGCACTTTGGCTACAACGGTTTACGTCACTACGGTCTCTGCAGAAAGAAGCTATCGGAGCTAGCCACGCTCAATAAACGCAAAAGACAATCAACACTTAAATGTTGATTGTCATACATATACATAACACGGATCGAGGATTGAATTATGGACTTAGGTTAAATTTATATTTGGGTCACTTACCGCTAATGTTCACAGTTCTAGTTTAGAAGTTGCTAGCCTAACTGTTACTCGCCTACCACTGGAAAACCTTCGGGAACTATTTTCTTTGCAGTCAATAAATAAACCTTTTCGGCATTCATAAAAGTAGACTGAAATTTATTTTGTGTGCGTTCACACAACACGATTCGCCCTTTCGGTACTTATTTTCTGATAATCCCTTTATCTCTCTTCAGGTGTGAGAATTACATCAATTCTGGATTAGGACAAACAATACTAATATTGATTGATGGGGGTAAATGGTATAAAGAGAACGTTTGTGCTAAATACATACCGAAGAGCTCAGATGGACCTGATCCAGCGATCCAGTCCTAGCTATGTTTAGCTCCAAAGTACAAATGTGTCCTTTTTTAACATTTTCATGAGAAATTCTGCCGACCACAAGCATGAACCTGCCTTCTGCACTTGTTGATGGTGTGGTTTTACAAACGAGATGAATGTTTCTGCTTTCATAGCTTTCATAGTAGAGTATCGCGAATCGCATCGACAAGGACCATAACTGCAGTCTTTTGTTGTCACCATGATTCAATGATATAGCCCAAATAAATACACGCGCATGTGGAGAACACAGTAGAACTCAACGTTGTATACGATATATATTGCGATAGACACATGTTCGATATCAATAGAAAACGGAGTCGATAGAACTTTCGATAGTTTAGCTTCACTCCGTTAGAAAACACAGGAAGTAAAGCAGAGTCAAAAGCGCGCGGCATTCTGGGGGATGTAGGCATGGGCTTCTCGACCTATCACAGCCGACTACAAACCGCAAAACTTTCTGGGAAATGCAAAAACAACAACTGCACCATGCTTGGCGTCCATGGATCTATTATAATAGCCATGGATCTAAAGACCGTGTTTCAGTGCCGTGTCAATGGTTATACACGTCCGTGCGAGGAACAGCATGTGCGGCGGGAGAGGCAGTGGACACAGACTCGATGCATTCAGCAAAAGCAAGAGATTAACTTTTTCTGGAGCCGTCACAGGGACACTCAAACAGCCAAAACGGGAGCTAAACCAGGATTAAACCAGGACTAACTATGGGGGAGACTGCTTGTGAACATTTTCCTCCAGCCCAGGGCTTAAAGTTTTCCGGCACCGTGCCGGAAATCCGGCGTGAGAAAAAAAAAAAAAAAACATCACTTTTTTTTTTTTTTTTTTTTTTAATATATATATAAATAAATAATGATTGCTGTCATTTGAAAAAAGGTTCAAGTGTGTTCTACCAATTGTATGAAAGGATTGCATGTGTATAGCGCAGGGATTAAAGAGTTCCGTCTAAGTGACGGATTTCCGTCAAATGAAATTGGTCTGAAAAAAAAAAAAAAAATATAATAATAATATAATACACACAATGAAATGGTTAATTATAACAAAATATATAGTAATACGTGTGAATCTTTTGTATATATCTAGATACAATTATATTCAAATTATTAATATATATTTATATGTATATAGAAATAAAAAGTAACGAGTGGGCCTTGAACGTGCCGTGGCTAGCTACATGAGCGCTCCGTAAATGATTCAAGGCAATGGGACGTAGCCAAGTTAGCGATGGTAACACGGAGGTGAAAGTTTCTGAAAAGTGCACGGAGCTTTTGAAAAGGAGAAGAGGACAAGGAAAATGTAATCCCGAACGGAGCAATAACAGCCAGCAGCCCGCGGACCGGTAAACTGGGCGCGTTATCAGAGGAAAGGTAGGACATAATTAACGTTTACCAAACGCAATGCTTTTTTATTTAACGGAATGTACAATATGTACTTTGCTGTGACTGGGAATGGGGACAAGCATGTCTTGGTGAGCTTTTGATAATATCTTGGTGGCGATCCGCATGCAAAACTGCGTGATAAAAAGAGCCAATCAACGAGAGCGAACGGAAGAAACTCGCTGAAGAAAGGTGTGTGTTAGCAGGTCTTATATTCATTCATCAAAGCTAGCCTAGCATGCACGCACAATCACAATCATGGATCGTTGTTTATGGAAGAAGGAGCTGTATAAGTTGCTGTTGATAACGGAGTGAAAAATAAATGGAGGTGGGCATGGCTGGATGAGGTGGAGACGATGGGATTCTGTTGCTTCATGGTGCAAAAAGATGAAGGTGTCCGGTGCTTGTTCGTACTTCGCTATTATTATTTTTTTATATGGGAGTAATGAGAAAACAGCTTTGGATTCACCACCAGCTCAAAACTGCGCACTTGGCAGCTGTCCGTGCACTTTCCCACACTTCTTTACCTGGTGCATCAGATTCAGCGACAACTGAGACTAGGCTTGCTCTGGTGGACTGTGTCTGTGACCTAAAACTATCTGTGGCTTTATCGCAGAAAATAACCTGTCGTTCAGAACCATCACTACCGCTGGTAGATTTAATTATCATTAATCATTTGCAGTTGATAAAACTGCGCTGTGCACTAGCACCAAGTTGATAGGGAAACCTTTTTCTTAAACATTGAGTGTCCACAAACAAATGTGGACAGAATTTTGAATGTCCTTTTGCGATATTTTGACGAGGACAGAGCCAAAGGACAACGCCTCATCTCGCCTCAAGTAAAGCCAATGATGCAGATGAACTACTCTCACTAATATTCTGTCAAAGAGTTGACAAGTTGCTTGATCCACTGGTTGTAATTTCACATCAAAATACACCAGTTTAAATGTATATCTTTGAAGAATTCGTTTGATCTGTAATTCATTATATTTCCATGAGAAAATTTTCAGTCAAATCTTTTTTTTTTTTTGCTTTAACCCCTGGATGATGTATTTATTGCCAACAACTGATGTTTATAATAAACATCAGTTGTTGGCATTAAATAGATATAAATTATATGTATGAGCGTATAAAGGCGCTTATAAAAAACGCTTATTAGTGATCATTCTATGATTCATATAGATGGTTCAGGCTCAGGAATTTTTTCAACTTTAACCCATGCTCCAGCCTCATTCCCCCGTGACTAAACAAGGTCTGCTAACATGTGTTAGCCGACACGACAAATGTATTTGTTTACGTTTAAAAAATTAATACAAAAACAATCAATACATATTGTTATCGACCGATATGAATTACTTATATTGTGATATAGTTTTCAGCCATATTGCCCAGCCCTACCTGACAGTGCCCTATTCTCCAATTAACAATGTGTTGATTAATTGATATTTGTGTTATTGAGCGTGGCTAGCTTCGATATCTTCTCCCAGATAGAAGTATTAAGTGACAGGCGCTGAAATAGCCTGGCCATAGCCATCCGTACACTCCGCTCAATCATTTCACTGCATGTAACGTCTGGGTCTGGTCCCTTCAACCGGCTACTCGGAGAGTGCAGAAGGCAGAGTTTGCGCCGAACAGGCAGGGTGTAGTTTGGCAGTGGCGAAGAATGCGATAGTAATCCGGTCTGGTTCTATCAAGAAATTGAAGCAGGAGCAAGAGGAATGTTTAGCAAATGTAATCAATCGCTGGTCAAGATTGTGGTGCTACTCCCCACGGGCTCCGTTAGCAGCAAAGGAGATGGCTAAAGGTAGTAGCCACGCCTAGGAAAAGTAGGCGTGGCTTAAGACCAATTGGAAAGGAAGGGGGAGCTTGGGTCATTTCATTATATTTTTTTTTTCATTTTCAAGCCCTTTATTCCATTTCTGGGTTGGGGGGGTGGCAATCAGAGCTGCCACCCAATTCTCAAAGCACCAGTTCCTCGCTGATCCTCCTGCAGGTGGTGGGTGCACAGGACCCCTCTTTTTTCTGACAAACTCCAGACTATCACTTTAACTCATTGTTTTGAGAAATATTTGGGCAAGAAACTTTTGGCATTTTGCAATTAAAATATAAGACCACACAAGTGTTTTTTAAACTTAAGACTTAAAAACATATACAACCTTACCTGCCTAACAATATGCTAATTTCAAGAGGACTGTTTAAAGCCTGGCCTTGAATGTAGACTGTCTACTTCTTTAACGTGGATGGGAAGCTTAAGCCTGGTTCACACGAGACGATTTTGAAATTGTCGGCCAATTTTTCTCTGTGTGAGACCTCGCACAGGGAGATAAAAAATCACGGGTCTAACCACTTTGGTCGTACAGTGTGTGGTGCGCAGCCACACGGAACCACCAGATGTTTTTTGTGTGCACTGTTTGGTTGGTATGACACTAACATGTCTTGGAGGGAGCGATGCCATTTATGGCTTTGTATGTTAAAGGATTTGTAAATCTATACTCTACAGGAAGCCAGTGGAGGGATTTTAACACGGGAGTTATGCCTTCCTTCCTTTTGGTGCCAGCCAGGATTATTGATGAAATAATATTCAGAACACATTTAAGAGTAATTTTTTAAACTCCACATTAGTGACCTGAGGACAAATGTTGCTTTGTGTTGGAATGGTAAGCGCAAATCACATTGTATTGGTCACTTATGTCATATTTAAATTATTGTATTAAAGTGTGGAGAAACTGTTACAAATCTCACTAAAAGCTTTTCATTACAAAAACTGTCTGCTCACATGTTTCCAGACGGTGGGGAAGAGCTCTAAGATGCTGCAGCACATCGACTTCAGGATGCGCTGCATTCTTCAGGACGGTCGTATTTTCATCGGGACGTTTAAGGCCTTCGACAAACACATGAACCTGATTCTGTGTGACTGTGACGAGTTCAGGAAGATAAAGTATGTGCCAATGCTAGTTCATGATGCAGATCCTGTACGACAGCAATCCTGAGACTGTATCTCACTGGGCTTGAGTCGAGGGGTTTCTGTGATGTCACCGTAACAATGATGTCACACGTTTCAGGCCAAAGAACACGAAGCAACCGGAGCGCGAGGAGAAAAGGGTTCTCGGTCTGGTTCTGCTGAGAGGCGAGAACCTGGTGTCTATGACGGTAGAAGGACCTCCTCCTAAAGACGTAAGAACAAGCTCTTTATTAGAGAGGTGTGCGTGTATGGGCAGCTCTTAGACTATGAGTCACTGTACTGTAATACTAGTTTATGTAACACGCTGTCCTCCATTTTGTATTGTTAAATCTGTTGTGTGTGGCAGACCGGCATTGCCCGTGTGCCCCTGGCAGGTGTGGCAGGAGGTCCTGGAGTGGGCAGAGCGGCGGGCAGAGGTGTGCCCTCAGGCGCCGCCATGGCAACGGTGCCTGCGGGACTGGCAGGTCCTGTGAGAGGAGTGGGTGGGCCTTCCCAACAGGTGAGCGGGTGGGGGCTAAGGGGTTGGAACCTCATGTTAACCTTGTCTGAACTTGTTCTTGTTCCAGGTCATGACTCCCCAGGGCAGAGGCACAGTTGCCGTGGCAGCAGCCTCCATCGCAGGCGCCCCCACACAGTACCCCCCCGGCAGAGGAGCCCCTCCTCCTATGGGCCGTGGAGCCCCCCCAGGTCTGTCATTAATCTATACTCATGTGCTCTGATTGGTCCATATCTAACTCTTCTAATCGGCTATTGCAGGTATGATGGGCCCACCCCCTGGCATGCGCCCGCCAATGGGACCTCCAATGGGGATGCCCCCTGGTCGAGGGGCCCCCATGGGCATGCCCCCCCCAGGCATGAGGCCCCCACCCCCTGGGATGAGAGGTGAGACCTGAGATAGAGAAGCCCTCATGGGTTCAGACCGCCAACTCTTAAACGCAGCTTCCACGCGCACTGGACGCAAATTCGCACTTTCACATTCCACCATTGGCAGTCCTGGTTTTGTCCTGGTTTAGCTCTTGTTTTGTCTTACGAGTATTGTCAAGTCTTCTTGCTCTGACCGCTAGTGTCCCCGTGACCACTTGGCAGCGCTCTGATTGGTTGCCGCACGTGTTGTGGCCAAGTTCAACAATGTTTATTTCCTGCTTTTGCTGCATGCATGCAGTCCGCGTACCCACCGCTTCTGCTGCGCAGGACAAACGTGCGTGTTGATGATTTTAAGTCCCAACTTAAGACGCATTTGTTTAGACAGGCTTTCTCGTCTTCCTGTTCATAGGTCTCTGAACTGTGTTTTTGTTTAAAAGAAATCTGACTTGTATGTGATTTTTATGTGTTTTAATGTGTGAAGCGCTTTGTGATCCTGGTCTTTGAAATGCGCTATACAAATAAACTTTACTTACTTGCATTGAAACTGGATGCAGTGATACGTGATGTTTGACTGTATATTAACAGCTGATCTTTCTTTCTCCTTAGGGCCACCCCCCCCTGGAATGAGACCGCCCCCCCGGCCCTGAAGCCTTGCCCCTCGCTCCTGAACCTCCGCCCTCTCATGTCTGAACCTCATTTTTATGTAAATTTGTTTTGTACTTTAGTTTTTAATAAAGTCTTGGACAAAGTTCAGTTACTTTTCCCTTTTTTCTGTAAATATTTCACATGTGCAGGTTATAATAAAGCAGATCTTCTGCAGCTGTGGACTTAGGTCAGAGTGTCATCTGTGGACTTGTGTTTGGCCCCTCCCATCACATACACACAACCAGACTCATTCTAATCTAGGTGAAGTGACTTCAGTGACCACAGTGGGTCTTCAGTTTTTGACCTATGATCACAAGGACTCACTTATGCAGGAGTAGTTTGAGATTTAATGGGAGTACTGGACAATAATCTTCAGGTTATGGCTGGAATAGATTCCCAGGCAGGTGACTAGGACGCCTACATTGCCTAGATTGAATCTGACCTGTGCGTGAATGGTTGGAGGGCCCGGCGGCGCATACTGGTTGCCTTGCTTCTGTCAGTGTGCCCCAGGGCAGCTGTGGCTACAGTAGTTTATCATCACTGTAAATGGAGTAAATTAATGACATGCAAAGTGTCTGAGTATCCAGTAAAGCGCTATATAAAACCAATGTTGTATTATTCAGAATCCTACTTGTACAATTCCTGAAAGACACCATTAGATTAAAGCAGGCGAAAAAACAGTCTGAAAAGAATGACTGTATTTGGCTCACACTCCAGACGGTGGCGGTAATGCGCCATTAAATGTTCGCCAACTGTCACTAAAGCAGCTGAGTTATCACGGGACGATCTGCCTGGTTATGACGGCAAAATTCAGTTACACACCCTTCAATACATTTCCAATCACGTCTCGAGAACTAACTCCGTTGTAAAAGAATGTATCATCCAGCTAATGAAGGCACAACCGCGACAAGCATCACAGGACCTGCCTGGTAGACGGCATTGACATAAAAAGCAAACTATTCATGTATTTATTTATTTGAAACTGGACAGGGCCCTTAATCAACATTATACAATAGTAAAAATGTGCTCGAGTTAGTTGAATTAAGTTAATTCAACTAACTCAACGGTAGTCCCGTGGTGTAAAAAAAACAGAACTAAACACTATACAAGAATTTACAATACAGTACATTGAAGGAAAACAGAAACAATACATTTGCAGTACATTTGAAGGAAATCCTCTAGAAAATTCTCCACCCTATTTAACCCAAAAACCTTTACATCGCTAAGTTAAAAAAGAAAACATTAAATGCTCATTCCGTACAGAGGAAGGATCTATTTTTCAACTGCCCCTTAAAAACAATCTGGACAAAACTGGCAATTTTTAAAACAGAACATTCCATTTCAAGACATAATCATTTCTACCACAAATAAAAAAAGATTGAACACATTGTTAACCTATACATACTATTCGGAAAATATATTCATAAATAAAAATGTCTTAACCACAAACCCAATTTTAAAGTCTTATAATAGAAATAAAACCTGCAATTTCTCCAAAGCATCTCAAATATGAAATCTATAAAAACTAAACAAATAGCAGAGCTCTTCTCCCTCCAACAGTGACCTGCAATATCCCCCCACCCAGGTACACCCACACACACTATGGATCTATAATAATAACACACACTACTACTGCTGCTACTGCTACTAGAAGAAGAAAAATAAATAATAATTATGTAACTACACTTTTATTATTTGAACAATAAAAAAAAAAAGAGTTCTCACGGGACGAGTCACATGACCGTTGTGTTTATGCGGAAGTGAAGCAGCGACTGCAGGAGTAACAAGGTGGGTGACTTTATCTAACTTCGCTTCCATTTGTTTTGTACAATAGCTGTCATCTCGAAGGACTTTACAAAGTTGTCGTTTCACCAACAGCAGATCAGAGGATCATACAGTTAGAACACAGGAAATGCAATAATAACAATGCAATAATAACAAACCCATAGAAGCCATTGATCCATAGGGAGCAGGATGACCACTGTCCAGAATTGTTGATAAATGTGCAGAAATGTCCTGGATCATCACTGCCCTTTGACCCTCCTGCATCTGCAAGGAACAACTCAGTATGTCTCTGGTTCAGTGTGTATTAAGTGTGTTGATAAATAATATAAAGGGATGTGATGTCATGTGACATCATGTGAAACAATATGACGTCATGTGACGTCAGGGTTTGTGATATAGCAGGGGTCTCAAACTTTCATGTCCCTTGAAAGGCATTTTGTGATTTAGTTTTCTCCCTTTAATTTTTGAAGCATGTGACAGCCTTCAGGTCACCTGACTTTCTCATTGTGAGAGGAGCAGCTGTCATTACCCCGCTAACACATGAAATCATTGTACACTAATGTTCATGTTGATCATGAAATGAAAAAAGTAACGTTCTTCATGTGACACAGATGCGACGGCTGCTATTCCTGGTTGGGCTGCTCCACTTCCTGGTCGCTCACTTCTGGGTATGGGCGGGGCCTGTCGATGATGAGATCACATTTTTACCAGGATTAAACAAACAACCAAGTTTCAGACACTTCTCTGGATATTTGGACCTGAGCACTGGGAAGAGCCTTCACTACTGGTACTACTACTACTACTACTACTGTTTTACAATTTTACATGACTCGTATAAACAGAAGTGGCTGTTCAGCTAATATAATGGTCAAAATCCGGTCTTGGTCTAAATCAGTTCTTTGATTTCTGGTCTCAGGTTTGTGGAGTCCCAGTCCAAACCGGACTCAGATCCTCTGGTGCTCTGGTTGAATGGAGGCCCAGGCTGCAGTTCTCTGGACGGCCTGCTGACAGAGCACGGACCCTACCTGGTACTGAAGCTAAATAGGCTGAACCTAAAAGGCTATCAGGCTAAAGCTAACAGGCTGAAGTGTATTGACCAGATGCATCGACGTCATCCAGTCACGTGATCGTGCATGAGCTTACGGCGGAAGTAGTGGAAACTAGTATTGCAGCGAGAGCAAAACGGAATACAACTCTTAAAAACATGACTCCTCTCCTTAAACGAGAAGTGGCTGCTTCAAGCACATGTTCGATTACGTTATCGGTGAAAGAAGGACATCAGGTCAGGGCTCACAAAGAGCGGTATTTGGAGAAGTTAAGGATCGCCGAACTGGATGTTGACCCGTACCTTCTCCCCACAGTCAATTTTATCAAATATATGCTCGAATTCCCCCCACATGATCTTTATCATTATGTCGTTAACATCCCCTCACAAATGTAAATTTCTCTGCTAGCATTTGCACATTACCAATGCACTTTTCTGTCTACATCCAAACATGATACATATTGACGGAGAGGAAATAATAGTGAAAAACGCAACTTGCGTCTAAGATAAGAGATCTTTTATTCATGCCACAGTGGGGAAATATCAATCTTGCAGTGCACATACAGCACAGTAGTAAGAGCACACGTTTGACTTCAAGCGTTCATTGTGTCATTGTCCTCCAAATAAATTAATGGATTGAAAATACAAAATTGTGATTGATTTATCTTGTAAAAAGTGTTCACTGAAAATGTGGGAGTCCTTGGATGGCTAACATTATAAGTCACGGCTTCAGTCTAAACCTTTTTTGGTTACCTTCCTTATTTGCAACAAAATAGACCTATAAATATTTTGACTTGTTTGTAACCAAATAAACCTTCATTCATAACATGTGTTTTTCAGATTCAGGACGATGGAGCAACTCTGCAGTACAACGAGTTCAGCTGGAACAAGGTCAGAGTTTGAACCTTGACCCTTACCTTATTTTATGGGTTTGACCCTGACTTTTCCCTTGCTGCAGATGGCTAACATGCTGTACCTGGAGTCTCCAGCAGGGGTCGGCTTCTCCTACTCTGATGATAAGAACTACAACACTAACGACACAGAGGTAATGGTTGTGACATTCACACAAAAACTAATCTTTTGCTGGGTTGCAGTGGGGTGAAAGAACTCAGAGGGACAGGAAGTAAATCTCCCCTTTAAGAACAATTTAAACCTTCACAGATTCACAAATTTAAACAGGGTAATTACTAAAGTAGTATCCAAGCTCTGTGGCACAAGGTTCCGTGGGTTCATTGCAGCCCCCTGCTGTTTGCTCACTGCTCCAGAGCTTACCGTTTAGACGGAGACAATGCGGCAGTAAAACGCTATAGTTGGATGTCGGTTGCTACCTCTCGTTCACATGTAGACTGTGTTTCAGAGGGGTGAAAACATAAGCCTATCCAGCTTAAAGAGTGGGACAGCTCAGATATGCTGCTCAGCAGGGTGCTCTTTCACACCCGCGTGAAACAAAAGGTGTGAATTCTCTGCCTACTATGACCCCCCACCTCTCCGTTGCTCCCCGCACGTACATTGTGACATGCGCAGTAGTCGAGAACAAACGTAAATGACAATAGCGACGGGTACACTAACTTGCTATGTGTGCTTCAAGCGGTACACGGAGGAAAAATTACTCCTTCGTTCGTCCAAACGAAACCATGCAAAGCTCTAGTTTCAGTTTCCATTTTTGCAGCTGCTGTTAAATGCAGAATGATGTTGGTGTGTTCTTTCACGTCTTTGCGGCGCCTGTGGAGGACGTTGTTGAGGAAGTGAGTACACTGCTGGGGGGCTGGAGCTCATGTGTGTCGTGTTGTAAAGTTCCTCTGCCCACTACTGGCTGGGAAATAGAACTACATTGTTTTTCATCCTTGTATGAACTCTGTGAAACTTACATAAGGAGCCTGGTTGTTTCTGTTAAAGCTGGACTAACTCACTTTGTGATTTCGAAGCAGCCGTTTCAAATGTAAGCGCTGGCCTCGCTCTTTTTGCTCCCCTCGAAACTTTTGCTCCCCAACTACCCCCCTCCCACTCAGTGTGGGCTCATGTGCTGTTATTTATGGAGCTTGCATCTCACAATATGGATTGCACATTTGGACGTGGATGGCATGACCATTGAACGATAGAACCGGGAAGCGCGGAGGACGAGACTTTCTTTTGGCTGTTTCGCTGTGTAAGCAGTAACCGGTAACGAAGACATGGATAGTTTCAGGTTAGCCTCCGCCATGATGCTCATTTACCTACGTTGTCTGTGCTAACGGGGTACGTGTAGATTTTCTCATGAAGGTGGGGGCCAATGGTCCGCTGTGATTGGTCACAATCTGATCCCGAAACAAATTATCTTCCGCGTTGCACAAAAACTTGATCTAAAATAAAATTACACTACAGTACAAACTTGCGCTAATTATTCTTCAAAAGGACGTATATCCCAATGCACTGCATGGATATGGATTGAATTTCCCTAATGAATACAAAAACAAAGTGAGGTAGTCCAGCTTTAATGGCTTGGAAACGTCTGCGCAGAGCCTCTGTATAAACCAGTGGGGGCAGATCCCGGCTCAAAAGTGGCCAAAATGATGTGCCTGACATGCTTGCAATACCACCCCAGGCCGATGGGGGTGGACCCGGAATAAGAATTAGCCAATGCTAACATATAGCATATAGCATTGGATAGCTCCAGCAGAGCACTATTTTTGGCCCATTAGTTAGAACGGCGGAGATAGGCATGACTACGTCCATTAATTTTTACAGTCTATGGTATAAGCGGGGCCTAATTTTGAACTATTTTAATTTAAAATGTAATATTAGTTCCCTATTTATTATATTATTGATCAAAACTTTCATCTTGGACCTGTCTTCTGTTGATCCCAGAGTGACGGGCTCCACTGTCGCTTAATTGTCCTCATTGTTGAAAATATTAAACTCATTCAAACTATACAAGGCGTATGCTGTGTTGGAAATAGTTTTCACTATTAGTTCTATGAAGCAGCGAAAAGCTCCTATGTGCCTGTTTTCCCACATCGTCCTGTCTAATGGCCCCCTGCCAGGCCCTCTTTGGACCATGTGATTGCAACCCAGCAATTACCTTGGGGTGGTCTTTCACACTCAAGAGTGGTCTCTAACAATGAGGGTGATCTCTATTGCAGGTGTCTCTAAATAACTTTCTCGCCCTCAAACTCTTCCTGAAGAAGTTTCCGGAGTTTTCCTCAAACGGAGTTTTTTTAACCGGAGAAAGTTACGCAGGAATTTACATCCCCACCCTTGCCGAGCGGGTCATGGAAGATCCGAGCATTAACCTGAAGGTGAGAGCGAAGACCTGAGCATCGATCTGAAGGTGAGAGTGAAAACCTGATATTGACCAATAGAGGAGCCGAGTGTGGAGCTAAGGTGAGCACTCCAGCCAATTCTCCTGGACCAGTTGGAGGAGTTGTCTAGGGATGGGGGAGGTCACCCGATTGAAATGTGTGATAGTGAGTTGTTCTCCTGTGCTGAGAGAATCCACCTTCTCCCTCTGTCCCCCCAGGGTATTGCCGTGGGAAACGGGATGTCCAGCTACCGACTGAACGACAACTCGCTGGTGTACTTTGCGTACTACCACGGTCTGCTGGGGTCAGCTCTGTGGGCGGGGCTTCAGACCTCCTGCTGCCGAGAGGGGGTGTGCAACTTCTACGACAACAAAGACCTGAACTGTACCAACCTGGTAATCGCACCAATCAAACCAGCTAACCACACCCACCAAACCAGCTAACCACACCCACCAAGCCAGCTAACTACACCCACCAAACCAGCTAACTACACCCACCAAACCAGCTAACCACACCCACCAAGCCAGCTAACTACACCCACCAAACCAGCTAACTACACCCACCAAACCAGCTAACCACACCCACCAAACCAGCTAACCACACCCACCAAACCAGCTAACCACACCCACCAAACCAGCTAACCACACCCACCAAACCAGCTAACCACACCCACCAAGCCAGCTAACTACACCCACCAAGCCAGCTAACTACACCCACCAAGCCAGCTAACTACACCCACCAAACCAGCTAACCACACCCACCAAGCCAGCTAACTACACCCACCAAGCCAGCTAACTACACCCACCAAGCCAGCTAACTACACCCACCAAGCCAGCTAACTACACCCACCAAACCAGCTAACCACACCCACCAAGCCAGCTAACTACACCCACCAAACCAGCTAACCACACCCACCAAACCAGCTAACCACACCCACCAAGCCAGCTAACTACACCCACCAAACCAGCTAACCACACCCACCAAACCAGCTAACTACACCCACCAAACCAGCTAACCACACCCACCAAACCAGCTAACCACACCCACCAAACCAGCTAACCACACCCACCAAGCCAGCTAACCACACCCACCAAACCAGCTAACCACACCCACCAAACCAGCTAACCACACCCACCAAGCCAGCTAACTACACCCACCAAGCCAGCTAACCACACCCACCAAACCAGCTAACCACACCCACCAAGCCAGCTAACTACACCCACCAAACCAGCTAACCACACCCACCAAACCAGCTAACCACACCCACCAAGCCAGCTAACTACACCCACCAAACCAGCTAACCACACCCACCAAACCAGCTAACCACACCCACCAAGCCAGCTAACTACACCCACCAAACCAGCTAACCAGACCCACCAAACCAGCTAACCACACCCACCAAACCAGCTAACCACACCCACCAAAGCAGCTAACCAGACCCACCAAGCCAGCTAACCACACCCACCAAACCAGCTAACCACACCCACCAAAGCAGCTAACCAGACCCACCAAGCCAGCTAACCACACCCACCAAACCAGCTAACCACACTCACCAAAGCAGCTAACCGCAGCCACCCAACCTTCAGTCACATTGAAACAGCTCTGAACAGACTGAACAGTTAGCCCTTCAGTCAATTAGCTCTGCAGTTAGCTCTACAGTTAGCTCTATAGTCAGCTCTTCTCTCTGTTTCTCTGCAGCTCGGTGAAGTTCAGGACATCATCTACAGCTCTGGACTGAACATTTACAATCTGTACGCCCCCTGTGATGGGGGAGTGAAGGAGAGCGTGAGGTCAGTACTCTCCCACTGAAAGAGAGAGACCACTCAAAAATGTAACAGAGAGGGTGAGATCAGTACAGTATACATCCACTGTGAGAGAGGGGGAGAGAAAGACCACCTACACTGTGAGAGAGAGAGGGTGAGTACGATACTGCCCGCTTTAAGAAAAAGACCACCCCCACTGCGAGAGACAGGAGGGAGCTAGTGTCTTTAGAGGGTGTGGAGGTGGTGGTGTCTCTAGAGGAGGTGCTTTTACATTTCTCTCTGTCTCAGTTTGGAGGAGAATCATCTCGTCTTCAGAGATCTGGGAAATGTGTTCAACCAACTCCCACAGAGCCGACTCCTACGAGAGGTAACCGTGACTACAGAGTCCTCTCCCTCTGTGTGCTCTCAGGCCTTCCCCCTGACTCCTCCCCCTGTATTCCTCCTCTCTTTGCAGAAGCTCTTGGCCCTGGTTTCAGTCCAGTCTCCACACGGGTCCCGGTCTGGACTGGGTCTGAGGCTGGACCCGCCCTGCACTAATTCCACCCCTTCCACTTTGTACCTGAACAACGCCTTTGTGAGGAAAGCACTCCACATCAGAGACGAGGCACTGGACTGGACTATCTGCAGGTTAGAGGCCAGGGGGAGGCTCTGAGCCGCGCTCTGGGCCGCGCTCTGGGCCGCGCTCTGGGCCGCGCTCTGGGCCGCGCTCTGGGCCGCGCTCTGGGCCGCGCTCTGGGCCGCTTCTGGGCCGCGCTCTGAGCCACGCTCGTCAGCCCAAAATAAATTGTGTATTTTAGCCACGCAGTGATGCATCTCCCAGTCAAAACATTTGGGAAACAGGTTTGTGCTGGCAGACCTTGGCCCTAGATCACCTCCACACACAGCACTTGTCTCATTGCATTAACATTAGAAGGAGGGCTGGTTATTGCATGGGCTTTGAGCAAGGAAGTTGTGCATTGTTTATTGTTTATTTTATGTAAAAATGCATCTGCAGCGCAAGACAAACGTGTGCCTACGAACACACATGCAAATATTGGCACTAAAGTACGTCACCATTGACTTTGCATGTAAACTTGCTGCAACTCATGGTCCGGTGTGAACACCCCATAACACTGCCATAAGGATGAGGGGGGGCAGCACCACGCTGTGGTCAGAGGAGACAAGACAACACTAACATTGTCATCAGTGATCATGCTGTGGTCGTACAAGTGAAATATATATGTACAGGGTCTTTGTTAACTTTTAACACAGACCCTGGACACCCGGGTCTCCTACAGAGATCAATCTATCTTCGTGTCATCGTTCCCCTCACCCCCACCCTCACTCTGTTTTCATGTTTCAGTGCGGAGGTGAATCTTCACTACAAGAGACTTTATACAGACATGAAGGAGCAGTACCTGAGCCTGCTGTCTGCGCTGGTGAGGCTACTGTGGCTTCTGCTACTGCTGTTACTACTACTGCTACGTCTGCTGCTGCATGCGTTTCCTTCTACTCACGTGTGTGTACTTGTACTTGTAACAGAAGTACAGAGTCCTGGTGTACAACGGTGACGTGGATATGGCTTGTAACTTCCTTGGAGACGAGTGGTTTGTGGAGTCGCTGCAGCAGCAGGTCAGTAAGCTCTGCTCTGATTGGTTGTGTTTATAATGACAGGCAGTTTCCCACTGCAGATCAGAGAGTGAGACCAGAGTCTTGTCCCTTGTGGGTAATTAGTCTTTTGCCCCTGATCCCCACGATGCCCTTCACTCCAGTGTTTAGTGAGATTTCATTAAATGTGTGACATGTTCTTTAATGGACCAAAACTGAAATAGCATTTATTTTAACTTCAATGTATTTTTTGTATTGCCCAAAATCACAACAGCTCTGTGAAAGTGACGGTCCTCACAGCCCTCCTCTTCCTCAAGACTGGCCCTCACAACCTTCCTCTCCTCTGATTGGCCTACAGGTGCAGGTGCAGAGGCGTCCATGGTTGTACGAAACTATTAACGGGAAACAAGTGGGCGGGTTCATCAAACAGTTTGACAACATCAGCTTCATGACAGTGAAGGTATGCAGATTTGGATTCACCTGCAAATGAAATGATGAACTAAATTGTTTATTGGGTTTTTACAATTTTATACAGAAAGTACAGAACACCTAAATGAACAGTTATATTTATATATTCTGTTAGATGTATATGTTGCTATATGCCGAGAAAATGCTGAGAAAAACAAAACAGAAAGGAACAGACACACTTACTATAATGAGAAAACATACAATAAATTGTTGTTCAAGTTCCCATTTTAAACAGACTAATAAAGGATGCTCATGTCCTGGTAGATGTATCTTCACCACCCTGTAAGGAATATCTGATCCAAGTGCGTCATGACATTTATTAACCAATGCACATGAGGGGGGCTCTGCCTGCATCCAATTGAATAAAATCAGTCTTCGTCAAAGTAAGCACCCAAATTGTAGAACAGTGTTATTACATTTTGATCTACAGTTCCAAGGACTGCTGTGCGAGGATTCACGTCAAGTTTTGTGTATAGCTTTTGATGATAATGAAAAAATATTTGACCAAAGTGTATAGCTCAGTGCAACCCCAGAACATATGTGACAAAGAAGCTGGTGCTTGATTACAAACGCGTGCACATAAAGGTTCTCATCGATGGTGATCCATCTTCACCAGTGGTTCCTGTGTATAATCTTGAACTGAGGTAAACCGTGGCGAGCACAGATTGAGGCCGAGTGCTCTTCAGTGATCGCTCCTTCCAGGCTTGTCTCAGGTGTTGTTCCAAAAGTACCATAAACCATCAATGGTTTATGGTTTTTAACCATCCATGTCGGAGCCCTTGGGTCGTTACATTGTTTTGTTTAACAACAAAACAATGCTAATTCATTCTCTTCCCCTTCATTAATTTCTGGGTGGGGGGTGGCAGTCAGAGCTGCACCCAATTCAGAGCACAAGCCCCTCACTGATCCTCCTGCAGGTGGTGTGTCCACAGGAGGATGGCTGCTCTGTCTGTGAGAGCATAGCCATGATCTTTCAGCGGGGGTTCAGGCTAAGTGGGGTTGTCCATGGACACGACAGCCGACATCCATTATTATATTTCCAAAAGTGACAGTTGCGCAAGAAAAAAAATCCTTAAGTGTTTCCAATGAAAGGAAAAAACCCTTTACAAAAAGTCTATAAAATTACGGAGACCACATCTATACCACTTAGTTTGCCACTTATTGCCATATTCAAAGTTAATTAGACTACTAAATTATCAATACTATTATGAGCTATTGAAGCTACAGTGGGGAAAAAAGTATTCAGTCAGCCACCAGTTGTGCAAGTTCTCCCACTTAAAAATAAATTTTCATCATAGGTATACCTCAACGATGAGAGACACAATGAGAAAAACCAATCCAGAAAATCACATTGTCTGATTTTTTAAGAATTTATTTGCAAATTATGGTGGAAGATAAGTATTTGATTCACTACAAACAAGCAAGATTTCTGGCTCTGACAGACCTGTCACTCCTTCTTTAAGAGGCTCCTCTGTCCTCCACCTGTCAACAACCTCAAACACTCCAAACTTCACTATGGCTAAGACCAAAGAGCTGTAGACCTGCACCAGGCTGGGAAGACTGAATCTGCAATAGGTAAACAGCTTGGAAGACATACAAGACTACTGATAATCTCCCTCAATCTGGGGCTCCACGCAAGATCTCATCCCGTAGGTGCACAATGGTAAAGAACGGTGAACATAAATTTCAGAACCACCTGGGGGGACCTGGTGAATGACCTGCAGAGAGCCGGGATCAAGGTAGCAAAGGCTACCATCAGTAACACACTATGCCGCCTGGGAATCAAATCCTGCAGTGCCAGACGTGTCCCCCTGCTGAAGCCAGTGCATGTCCAGGCTGAAGTTTGCCAGAGAGCACATAGATGATACAGCAGAGGATTGGGAGAATGTCACATGATCAGATTAAACCAAAATACAACTTTTTGGTAAAAACTCAACTTGTCGTGTTTGGAGGAGAGTTGCATCCAAAAGAACACCATACTTACCCATGGGGGTGGAAATGTCATCCTTTGGGAATGTTTTTCTGCAAAGGGACCAGGACGACTGATCCGTGTAAAGGAAAGAATGAATAGGGCCATGTATTGTGAGATTTTGAATGAAAACCTCCTTCCATCAGCAAGGGCATTGCTGCTGACATGGCTCCATTTACATCCAGCTTGGAAACTGTTTTTGGATAAAAAATAAAACAAAAACAAAAAAAAATATATATATACAGCAAACAAACATTGGAGTAAAATTTAGGTTTTCAAAGTTGAGAAAGTCATAATTAGAGAGGATGGGACAGTGATGGTACCGCCTGGACTTCTTATCATGGATCTTAAGGGCACACTTGTACAGTGACTCGAGAGGTCCCAGAGTGGTTTTACAGCCCTGAGACCAGCTCGAGACACAGTATACACAGTATGTGACAGGATCATGGAGTTCAGATACAGATCGGACGCCTCAGTGGTGAGTGACCCCCGCATGTATCTGAAGTTGGCCAAATTAAACTTAAGAGTGTAATGGAGTTTCTTTACATGATGTTTGAAGGTCAGGTTTTGATCCAGGGTCACTCCTAAATATGAGAATACATCAACATTTTTAATTTTACTGCCATTAATAAAAATATTCAGTGGAAGACTGAGACACCCTCAGTGTAGGAAGGAGCGCTACCGCAGAGCCTTTATCCCCACCGCTGTCAGACTGTACAATAAGTCACTTTAAATTTCACTGTGTGAAAACCTGCACTACTATTGACACTGTTTCCAATTGACACTTGTCCTTTTGTTGTACATAATTGTCACTTTTATTGTACATATATATCCTGCATGTAACATGTTTGCACATTTCCTCCTTTTGCACAATCTGAGTGTCCTATCCATGCCAAATGTGACATGTAAATTTCTCCTATGTGAGATAATAAAGCTTATCTTATCTTATTTTAGGATTGCAAGCCCAATAGTACAATTGAAAATAATTTGGCAATCCCATTCCACATGACGGTTTTGGTCTGAATGTTTTATTCAAATGAAAAGGAATGCACTGGAATAAAAACAGGAATCTTGGCAGTACCGTTCTCTTGATTATCTTAATGCAACCTGCTAATGAAATTGGGAAATAAGACCATCTCTCACAATCTGCAGAAGTCTGTTCTGTAACAGATTAAAAAGATGAGGTAGTACTTAAATTCGACTGAAATTTGAAAGGGAAAATATGCATACTTGTGTCCGGTTTATTTGGAAAATAATACTCTTGCCAAGGTTTAATTTGTACCCTTTTGGGATTATGGGTTAACTGTTTTACAGTGCCTTGCGAAAGTATTCGGCCCCCTTGAACCTTTCAACATTTGGCCACATTTCAGGCTTCAAACATAATATAACATTTATTTTTTTGTCAAGAATCAACAAGTGGGACACAATCGTGAAGTGGAACAAAATTTATTGGATAATTTAAACTTTTATTTGTTAAAAAAAACTGAAAAGTGGGGCGTGCAATATTATTCGGCCCCCTTTCGCTAATACTTTGTAGCGCCACCTTTTGCTGCAATTACAGCTGCAAGTCGCTTGGGGTATGTCTCAGTTTTGCACATCGAGAGACTGGAATTCTTTCCCATTCTTCCTTGCAAAACAGCTCGAGCTCAGTAAGGTTGGATGGAGAGCGTTTGTGAACAGCAGTCTTCAGCTCTTTCCACAGATTCTCGATTGGATTCAGGTCTGGACTTTGACTTGGCCATTCTAACACCTGGATACGTCTATTTGTGAACCATTCCATTGTAGATTTGGCTTTATGTTTTGGATCATTGTCCTGTTGGAAGATAAATCTCCGTCCCAGTCTCAGGTCTTTTGCAGACTCCAACAGGTTTTCTTCCAGAATGGTCCTGTATTTGGCTCCATCCATCTTCCCATCAATTCTAGCCATCTTCCCTGTCCCTGCTGAAGAAAAGCAGGCCCAAACCATGATGCTGCCACCACCATGTTTGACAGTGGGGATGGTGTGTTCAGGGTGATGAGCTGTGTTGCTTTTACGCCAAACATATCGTTTTGCATTGTGGCCAAAAAGCAAATTTTGGTTTCATCTGACCAGAGCACCTTCTTCCACATGTTTGGTGTGTCTCCCAGGTGGCTTATGGCAAACTTTAAACGAGACTTTTTATGGATATCTTTGAGAAATGGCTTTCTTCTTGCCACTCTTCCAGAAAGGCCAGATTTGTGCAGTGCACGACTGATTGCTGTCCTATGGACAGACTCTCCCACCTCAGCTGTAGTTATCTGCAGTTCATCCAGAGGGATCATTGGCCTCTTGACTGCATCTCTGATCAGTCTTCTCCTTGTTTGAGATGAAAGTTTGGAGGGACGGCCTGGTCTTGGTAGATTTGCAGTGGTCTGATACTCCTTCCATTTCAATATAATTGCTTGCACAGTGCTCCTTGAGATGTTTAAAGCTTGGGAAATCTTTTTGTATCCAAATCCGGCTTTAAACTGCTCCACAACAGTATCTCGGACCTGCCTGGTGTGTTCCTTTGTCTTCATGGTTCTCTGCGCTTTAAACAGAACCCTGAGACTATCAAAGAGCAGGTGCATTTATACAGAGACTTGATTACACACAGGTGCATTCTATTTATCATCATCAGTCATTTAGGACAACATTGGATCATTCAAAGATCCTCACTGAACTTCTGGACTGAGTTTGCTGCACTGAAAGTAAAGGGGCCGAATAATATTGCATGCCCCACTTTTCAGTTTTTTATTTGTTAAAAAAGTTAAAATTATCCAATAAATTTCGTTCCACTTCAAGATTGTGTCCCACTTGCTGTTGATTCTTGACAAAAAAATTGATTTTTATATCTTTATGTTTGAAGCCTGAAATGTAGCGAAATGTTGAAAGGGCCGAATACTTTCGCAAGGCACTGTAAACCATTCTGGTCTTCATGTGGGTAGCACAGTTTCCAGTCAATTACTAAATATTTTTGGCCAGAATTTTAACATCTACATTCAAAATACTAGTTGGCCTGTATGCAGACAAACTTTTGGGATGTTTATCTTTTATGTGATGACAGAAATAGTTGCTTGATAAAATGTTGGTGGGAGATTGCCGATAGTGATTGATTCATTATAAACTTGGAGTAACCAGGGAGCCAGCTCATTAACAATAGATTTATAAAATTTTGTTGTAAAACCGTCAGGACCAGGCCCCTTTAATGTCTGTAGAGCTTTGATGGCCCGTTCCGACTCAGAGATTGGACTTTCCAACTGTCTTTAGATTTACATTATGGAATGGGAAGATTTTTGATTTGATCAGAGTAATACCCCCTTCAACATCAGATGAGTTCAAATCTTTGTGAAATGTTTTAAATCCCATGTTTATTTCTTGTTGGTCAGCAGTTAAAGTGCCCAAATTGGTTATTACTTCTTTTTTCTCCATAACTTTAATTTGGATTGAATTTCTGACCCCTCTCTTTCTCTCTCTCTCTCTCTCAGGGCTCGGGTCACATGGTTCCCACCGACAAACCAGCCGCTGCCTTCGCCATGTTTTCTCGCTTCATTCACAACCTGCCCTTCTGAGCTCTGATTGGCCGTGGCATGTCACTCACTGTTTTAAACTGTTTTAAGTCTCAGGTGAAAGTTGAACTTTAATTATGAGTTTGAGTTTTTAAATAAACGTTTTTATTGATATGTTTGTGTCTCTGTCTGTTACATTAGTCACAGAAAAACAGTTTTTTATTTCAAGTCTTCAGTTCTTCGGGCCTTCAGTTCTTCCAACGGATTTGCTGTGATAGACAACACACCAGATCAAATGTTGTGGATGCGTCTATAATGAACGTCGTCAAGAAGTCCGGTCTCTCTCTCTGCTGTGGTCTCCCTCTCTGCTCTCGTCCCCCTCTCTGCTTTGGTCTCCCTCTCACTGGTCTTCCTCATCTCTCTGATCTTTCCCTGGTTCTAGGTCCTGGTCCTGGTCCTAGTCTCCTGCTCTTCCCCTGGGTCTTGGTCCTGGTCGCTGGTCCTTACTGAATTCTGGAGGAGGGTCTGGATAGTCCGGTCCTCCTGTGATCCGGGTTCCACTTTGCTTCTGTACTGAATCAAACTGAGCCGGTCCTTCTGCTCCCGGAAGATCTGAGGGACAAACATGATTAATGGAGTAAGAGATGACCAGGATGAGCAGCACTCCATCTGGTGGTAAAAGGGGGATATTACGCTCTGGAGCCAATGGGCCTCATTCACTAACTGTTCTTAAGAACAAATTTGTATGTAAATCCTACTTACAAGGATTTTTCTCTTACCCAGAATTTCTCTGAGGTAAGAACAAATCCTACAAATACTCAAGAGCACTCTTAAGCACATTCAGTGCCGACATGGTGGCATGCTAGTGTTGTCTTTAAGTTCAATAAAAACACAACATTACAGTGATATGTTCGTGATAGTGATGTATGTATTTATTCATTAGGCCGAGCCAATACGTAGTATTGGGGAGGCCTATTGTTATTCGGTGGTTTCATATTATTATTCTTTTTCCGCCGAAACAATTCGATTTTTGACCCTGAAGACATGCACGAAAGTCTGCACATGGGGGGTCTAAAACGACCGGTCCGGCGAAAAATTTGATAAAACGGACGTTTCCAGATTGTCCGACAAAAGGCGAATCAATAGCGCCCCCTTGAAAATTCAAATTTTTCCATTTCTATTGGAGGCAGGATTGCATATTTTGGAGTAGGTACACGAAATTCGGATGAGTGATAGATCTCTATGAGGCGAGCATAAAAGCCGGTCTAAGCACATGTCTGGGACCAACAGGAAGTCGGCCATGATGGGCCAAAGTTTCGCCACTAATTTGACTTTTCATTTATAAATTCAAACTAGTCCCTGGTTTTTCATCACACACAGTTCTGCCACGTCATTTCCTAATCTGGACGGATTAAAGTTATATAATCATCAAAAAAAAGTTAGAAAATCTTCACCGTTTTTGTCCCTCGCCATGGCGAATAAGGCCTTCGTTTTGGCCATTTTCGCTGAGCCCTGAGGGCCACAGGCTCAGACCTACAGAGCTGAGACTCACATCAGTAATATTAGGTTATGGCCTGAACGCAATGACACTAAAATCATTCGCCCAATTTGAGCTCTTTAGCGCCACCTGTCGGAAAGTAATAGGGCACTAGTGCTCGGATCGGCCCGAAAATCGCTGAGTGTATTCTCTGGACCGACACGAGCAAAACATTACATTACGCAAAAGTTGTAAGTCCTACACCTGACCACCGGGGGCGCAGGAAAGTGAATCAATGAGCTTTTTGGGGCAAAATGTTTGTCCGATGAGGCTAAAAATGAATTCAGTAATACAGCGTATGACCCTGAACACAACGATATACAACACACAATTGTGAGTGCAACAGCGCCACCTACAGGCAGTTCAAGGTGTCGCATTTTTGGCTTCGTACTAGTCCCTGGATTTTCATCGCACAGACTTCTACCATGTCATTTGGACGGATTGAAGTTATGCGATCATCGCATAAAAGTTAGAATTTTGTTATCGTTTTCATGCGAGGTAGTGGGGAATTTCTCCATGTTTGATGCTCTCCTGACCACAGGCTCAGACCTACAGAGCTGAAACTCACATCACTAACAGTTGGTAATGGCCTGAGAGTAATGGTGTGAAAACACACACTTAATATGACTCTACAGCGCCACCTATGGAAGCAGTAAGTACGAGCAAAATACTACTCTACGTAGAGGGTGCATGTCCCGGAGGTGACCACTAGGGACGCACTTTATCATATAAATTAGCTTTTATATACGTAATCCTGGTCAGATCGGGCTGCCAATTCGTCGCCGTGACGCTTGTGGGACTGGCGCCCAGGAGGCGGTCGCAAGAGGGGCGAGGCCTTTCATCGCCGCTTGCGGCTTTAATTCAAATTGTTTGTGGTAATTCAACATATTTTTAAATTCATTTTTAAATTAAATGTGCCAACACACATCAAATACATTGGAAATCATACGGTCAATTAGTGACCCCATCCTATTTATAGGGTGCATTTCTCCATCCACGGGCCACAAAACAATGGCATATATACTGCTGCTGCAGGAGGTTGCGGGGTCCGCGCTGTCCCTCTACGCTGGTCTCTCCCATAGATCTATTACGGGTCCGCGCTGATCTCTTCTCGTGCAAAAGGGTAATTTTTTTCTTTTGCCAGACTGAGATTAAAGTCATAATAAAGTAAAAATATTATGACTTTAATCTCAGTCTGGCAAAAGAAAAAAAGGACCCTTTTGCTCCGTGCAACTTTTTGTATGTTGCTGTTTCCAGTGTGGCGTCTGCACACAGCCCTGCAGTCCCTTTTATGGGCATAATTAATGGGCTAAGTACCTATGCTAATGACTCACCTGGCACGCGTGCTCAACTTACAAGGAGTTGGCATTCATCAATCTAAGAGAACAGCTGCGAACAATTAAGTGGTTTACCAGCACGTTGATGAATCCCACGAAAGCCGTAACAGGGGCAGACGTGTTGCTAAGGCAAACTGGAGTTTCCCCATGAAGGCTCCTGATTGGTCAATCCTAATGACTCATATATGGATTTATAAAAGACTATTTCACAATCTAAACACCATATAAACATATGGCTTCTATTGTAAGTGGATAGAAGCCAGAGTGAATTGGAGCCAAAGTTTGGCCGCACGGTGGCTGGGTGGATAGCGCTCTCTCTTCTCAGCCAAAAAGTCCTGAGTCCGGATCCCTTTCTGAGTGGAGTTTCCCCCTTTGTCTGCGTAGGTTTCCTCCAGGTGCTCATGTTTCCCCTACCACTAAAAACATGTATAATCTCTGTGTGTATACACAGTGAGTGAGGACAAATGTCCACAATTGTAATGCGTTCTGTGACTCTAATCTGTGAAAGATTACTTCACAATAAGTCCTTCGCTCTTCATTGAGCTAGTGTTCTCCATCTGTATACAGTATGTATTGAACAAGGAGCGACTGCAAAGGTGTGTAGTACTTGAGTACTTTACTCACGTTGATGACGACATCGTGACATTTATGTTTTTGAGCCAAAGTTAAACGAGAATCTGAGTCTTCAACCAGAGACACGAAAGGAGACAGGACCTGGAACAGAAACCAGATCTGATACTTGAGACCAGAGACGGGGGCTGGGCTTACCTGCAGGGGGCGTGGCTTACCTGTGAGGGTGCAGAGTTCTTGTGCAGGATGTCCACCACGCGGCTGAAGCTCAGAGGAGATTTTTTTCGTCCAAATCCAAAAAACGAACGAGACGAAAACAGAGAATCGACTTCGGACCAAAGACGACGTTTGGAGAGAGCGGAGAGACTGGTGATGAAGAGCTGCTGTTCTGAGAGCTGAGGAAGAGGAGGAGAGAGGTGATGAAGAGGAGAGGAGACACTACAATCTACTCTCTGTAGAGCTGTCATCACTTTTGAATGCGCTGGAAAACGGCTACAAGTCATAAGTAGCTCTGGAACAGTTGTTTTGTAGTGCTTTATCATTCTTATTTTTAATTTTTAATTTAATTTTTTTGCTGCAGTACAGTGTACAGAGGATTCATGTTCGAACCAAGTTGATCAGGTGAAAATCCACCGGAGGATTGCTAACTTTTTGAAAACTGCTAATGAAGCATTCAGCATTTTACTTTGGACTAGAGCAGAGAAAATGGTCCAAACCAAGCGGCTACTCCACCTTGTGACCGGTCCTGCTCCACACAGTGGCTGGTTGGTCACAGCAGCGACTCCACCTCTGCAGTTGTGCAGTCCTGCTCCACCCAGAGGCTACTCCATCTTTGCTGCTGTGACCTGAAGGCCTGTGGCTGATTAATACTGTCATGAGCTTTTTAGAATGATACATTTTATTTTTGCTGCTACTGGACACCTGAATTTCTCCTACGGGGATCAATATCTATCAGGAGCAAGTGTCTCTGTAGAGTTGTCATTGTCATTAGGAGCTAGTGACTTTGCAGAGCTGACTGATGATGCAACTGATGAGACTGACCTTAAATGTTTGCCGCAGGTTTGACGGACTGCTGTAGGAGCCCTGAGGAGACACCAGGGGTCAGTCATGAGAAGGAAGCAGGAGGAGGAGGAGGAGGAGTAGTACTAGTAGTAGTTGTAGTAATAGTAGTAGTAGCAGTAGTAATAGAGGCAGTACCTCTAGGTCACAATAGTGGTAGTACAGGCAGTAGTACACTGGTGGTAGTAGTAGCAGTAGCAGTACCTCTGGGTCGCTGTAGACACTGTAGTAGTAGCAGTAGTAGTACCTCTGGGTTGCTGTCGTACACTGTAGTAGTAGCAGTAGTAGTACCTCTGGGTCGCTGTAGTGGTAGTACTCAGTAGTACACTGTAGTAGCAGTAGCAGTAGTAGTACCTCTGGGTCGCTGTTGTGGTAGTACACGCAGTAGTACACTGTAGTAATCAGGGGCATGTTAAGTATTGATGCTTTTCTTGGAAACTTCTGGAAAACTTCAACTTTCCCGTTTTTCTCCGACTGAGAATCAGCGACCTGAAGACACAAGAGTCAGCTCTACAAAGGTCTCCAGAGCCAGGCGTAAACCTGGCCCAGGCCTTGACCCTGAACCTGGTCCATGTTCTGACCTCGATGATTATCTGTCGCTCCAACAGAGTGAAGTGATCCTGAACCAGAGCAGCATCATCAGCAGAAAACGGCAGACTAAAAAAATTCAGAATAAAAAACTTTTCAGAATAGACGAAAGACGAAAAAGACCAACGACACTACTTTAAATGTCACAGGACACAGGTCAGGGGTCACAGGTCACACAGGTCAGGGGTCACTGGGGTCAGTCCTGGGGCCTCTTCTGTTCAGTCTCTATATGTTAGAGGGTCTTGGGTCTGGTTCTAGGTCTAGGTCTGGACCAGGTCTGACCTGATGCAAGACTTGAGGTAGTCTCTCCTCTTGTTCTCGTCGCTGATGGTCACGTGATCTTTGTACTGAAGCAGCTGAAACAGAACAGTCCTTTACTCAGGTTTATCTCTACACGCTCTGCACATCCAGAGACTCACAGTGGTGTCCATTCCTCTTTACAAAACAGCTTTCTGCCAGAGTAGAGGAGAGCATAAACATTATGCTGCCCCTCCCTTACACTGATGAAAATGTTAGTCTCCTCTGACTACAGCGAGTGCCTCCCCCCCCCAGATCTGTGGTAAGAATGACATGTGCAGATTCCCCTAGATGAGCTGTGGATGTGTGCAGCTCCTCTAGAGACCACAGGCCTCTGGTCTACGTCTGTGATCAGGTCTACGTCTGTGATCAGGTCTACGTCTGTGATTTGGTCTACGTCTGTGATCTGGTCTACGTATGTGATCAGGTCTACGTCTGTGATCAGGTCTACGTCTGTGATCAGGTCTCTTATTCTCTATGGCTGTGTGTTGGTAATTTTGCAGTGGTGCAAACTTAATAATGTAAGTAAGTAATCTTTATTTATATACCGCCTTTCACAGACCAGAGTCACAAAGCGGTTTACAATTGTTATTTTTTGGGCACTTTTCCTCTCACTCCACACAGAGATGGGAGCGGGGTCGCTGAACAGGAGGCGCATGCCAGACCTATTGTACATATTTTTAGTGGAAGGGGAAACCTACGCAGACACGGAGAGAAACTCTCACTCAGAACGGCCCTGGTCCGACCGGGATTCGAACCCAGGACCGCTGAGAGGCGAGCGTGCTATCCACTCAGCCACCTTGCCGCCCAATGGACTGAGCAGTGCTCTGCGAGATGTTTGTATAACTTATTCCTGATCACTGACACCTCTGGTGTTGCCTTTATAACGTGAGATTTATAATGTGAAAACCTACAACATGTGAAAATATAATAAATATTTACCGCAGTGTCTTCCACTCGACCCAGAGCTCTGAGAGAAAAGAAAAAAAAGGACTTGAACCAAGACTAAAGAAGGTCTAAAAAAGGTCTAAAGCAGGTCTAAAGCAGGACTATAGCTAGACTAAATCTAGACTGACCTCAGCAGGTCCAGCAGCAGCCTCTGTTCGTGAGTCTCTGTGAGGAAGTGGATGAAATGTCTCAGAGCTGTTTGCCTGGACTCCAGCTCCCGGAACAAGACATCTGTAAGAGACAAAAGGTAACACTGAGACCAGACCTGGATAAGGACTCAGACCAGGACTTCTTTCCCAGGGTAGACTGTGGCTGTCATAACAGACCTTTGCTGAGGGTCCTCTTGAGGAAGATCAGGACCTGCAGAGACATGAGAACAGTGAGAGACAAGCAAGAGACCAGAGACTGGACCTAGTTTTAATAAGAGTGAGTCTCATGTCTCTGAGCCTCCTCCTTTCTCCTGTACGTCATTAAGAGAGGATGTGGAAACTACTGCATCTGGATCAGAAGTCACATGACCTCAGTCACAAGACCCTGTTAAGATTAAGATTAAGAGATCCTTTATTCGTCCCTCAGTGGGGAAATTTCAGTGTTGCATCACAAGTTATAGAACAGTAGGAAAGAGCACACGGCAAAAGATAAGTGAACAATAGCTATACTAATTAAATAAAACAAAATCTCTAACTCTATCATCAATAACAAGTATAAAATCTCTATCTTGAAAATAATAATAAAAAACATTAGCAGCAGTATGTTTACATCTGTACATTAGCAGCAGTATGTTTACATCTGTGCATTAGCAGCAGTACGTTTACATTCGCAGCATGAGGCTCTGGGACACAGTGACTCAGTAAAGTGACAGTGACATGTGGTTATTGCACATTCTGATATAAGTTAAGGATATTGCAACAATGAATGACACGTAGGATCAAGTTGGCAGTGTTCATTAGTCCTTATTGTTTGTTGTACAGTCTGACAGCAGCAGGAAGGAAAGACCTGCGGAACCTCTCCTTCACACATCGAGGATGAATAAGTCTGTCACTGAAGCTGCTTTCCAGAGCAGACAGAGCGTCCAGCAGGGGGCAGTCATGGTCCAGCATAGATGTTAGTTTGTCCAGGACCCTCCTGTCCCCCACCTGCTGCACTGTGTCCAGGGAACAGCCCAGGACTGAGCTGGACTTCCTTGTCCAGCTTCTTCCTGTCCCTCTCTGTGATGCTGCTGCTCCCGCAGACCACACCGTACAAGAGGCTGATGCCACCACAGAGTCATAGAAGATCTTTAGGAGTGGCTCCTGCACTCAAAGACCTGAGCCTCCTCAGCAGGTAGAGCTCTGTCTGCGGAAATCCACCACCATCTCCTTGGTCTTCCTGGGTTATGGCACAAAGCTTATGCTGCCTAACAAATAATTGGATGTTCAAATCGGCTTCTTCTACATTAAGGTTAACTCTGTGGTGATGTCACACTGTGGTGATGTCACACTGTGGTGATGTCACACTGGTATAAAGGATTAGTTTGTTTACTCTGTTACCGCGGTGATGGCGTTCCCATCGTTGCCGTCAACAGCCAAATCTAGGAGGAGTAGTTTGTCTTGAAGAGACCGGAACCTCTCCATTCCCACGGCCTGAAAGCAGAAACCAGGTTTGCACCAGGTCTGAACAAGGTCTGAACCACATCTTTATTTACCTTCCCCTGCTGGAGCCTCTGGACTGTTTCCTCTGGAGACAAATCCCCCACAAAGTCCTGAAACCAAAGACCAGGGTCAGACCAGAGATGGACCAGAGAGAGAGACCTTAGAGAGAGACCAGAAAGAAAGACCAGGAAAAGAGACCGGAGGGAAAGACCAGCAAGCTAGACCCTAGAGGGAGACCACAGACAGGGACCAGAAAGAAACCAGAGAGACCAGAGAGAGTGCGATGCAATTGATGCTGACCTTGTAGTCGGCTCTGGGTCTCCGCAGCTCTGGAGCGAAGAGCCGAGAAGAGAGCTGCTCCGGGAGACAGGCTGAAACAGACGTGTGACATCACATTATAAACACGTTACATGATATTAGTGTCAGTGTGAACAGAGTGAGACCTCTGTGTGAAACTCACAGTCGCTGAGGTTTGGGTAGCTCCCCCTGCTGGATCTGCCTGGAACACAGTAACAGCAAGTATTAGAAGTCTGCAAAAAGGCCTGCTGTAGGTTTGTTGTCGTCCTGCTGTAGACCTGGGCCTACAGCAGGCTTACCTCTGAAGAGGGCGCTCAAAGACAGTCCTGGTCCACTTCTGTTTACACTGGACTCTGAACTGACCCGAGGGAAATCTGTCTTCTGATTGGACGAGGAGGACGTCTCACCGACCAACCACGAGATGCCTATACACGCACACACACACAGGGAGACATTCTGAATAGCTGTGGTCTGTGTGTCCTGGAGACAGGGGCTGTGATGTTGACAATAGTAGCAGCAGTTGTAGCAGCGATTGTAGCAGCAGCAGCAGCACTAGCAATACTACTCACTCCCCACTGGCTCCCCGCTCCAGTTGACCTTCTCCACGTCGTCATCGTCTGTGAGTTTGATGTTGTTCACGGCCTGGCGAGTTTGTTTGAGCTAAAGATGAAGGACAACATCATCATGGCTATCATAATTTATCATCTACACATCATATTCATAAATGATGACGAAGATGCTACAAAAGCACAGTGTCTAAGTCTTCAGTCCTCAGGTCCTTCAGACCTGGGTCAGATCTGGTTCAGACCTGGTTCAGACCTGGTTCAGACATGGTTCAGACCTGGTCTCTTGAACTAACCTGGGTGAGATCCTCTTCTTCTTCATCAAAAGTAAAAGCTTTAGACTGAGAACTGTTCCAATAATCATCCTCCTCCCCTTTGCTCCACTGCATCTGAAAGAAGAATGTGACATCACATACATGTCATTATTATTATAATATAATATTATCTATCGTGTATCCTGGAAGTCTTTAGCGGAGCCCGAAGCCTAAGTTGTTTTAGGTTAGTGACGTCACGAATGACGTTTGAAGCCTCGAAAGTACAGGAAATGGAGGGATTCATGAACCTACTGCAGTGAATCCGCTCAAACTTTGTTGGTTTTTTTGTGTGATTAATTTTGTGAGTGACATTGATATATATCTTGTTCTATCCATACATACAAGTGAAAGAGATTTGTCAAAAGCTGAGAATTATTGTTTTTAAACAACAGATAAAGTCACAAGCACAATTGATATCCTATCTGTGTCCTTTGAAAAGCTTTCAACAAATATCTTTTGTCCTATTGGAATTATTTAATTGATTTTCTGACTGACTTGACACTGGTAAAGTAAGCTATAATAATTAATTATGAAATATTTATATATATAATTTGTGTGTGTGTGTTAGAGCAGACAAGTGCAAGTGACTAAAGCCTAGTTTATACTTGCGCGGCGCGGAGCTTACGGAGGTGACGTGACGTCACTTGCGCAACGCGTTGGTCACCGCAAGGCCCTTACGTCGCCTGCCGCGCAGCATCGAACTTTCTACGCAAGGGTCGCCGCAAGGAAGCTCCGCTGTGATTGGTCCGTGTGTGTGTTTTGGAAGGTAACACGGAGCGGCTGCAGGGAACATGGATGAGGGACTTTGGAGCAGACTGCTTCAAGCTTCGAAGGAACCAAAGAAAAGTAGTTTGGGCTCAGGGCAGAGCCTGATATACGCGGAGACTGTGGACTAGAGTTCTGTTGCATATCTAACATATATATAACTTATAAACTGTGCAGTCGTTTGTTTTGCACTGTTCCTGTCTTTGTTTGAATCGTAGCTTATCGCGTCTGTTCCATTCCTGCACTTATAAATTGTTCATGTTTGCCTCAGATATTTACCACTTTTTGTATGCTGTTTGTGATGAATACAATTTAATAATAACTATGTTTCCAACAAGAACTGTGTCTTTATTCACAACATCACAGTTAAATGAGTTAAGAAACAATGAGTCCATAGAACTATCACATAAACCTACAGTAGAAACACATGTAATGATCACAAACAGCTCGGTTTGTTCATGTTTTTGTTCTGAAGAGGAGAAAGTAGCAGCTTAAATGAGACCGCTTTGGTTTCTCAAGCAACTCCTGTGAGATCGCCATCATGTGGCTGGTTGTGCGATTACAACATTCTCCTTAAAACTCCGCAAGGAGTATAAATTAAATTGTGCTTGCGTAGGTCCACCGCAACCGCTAACGTAAGCAGCGCAGCGCAAGTATACACTAGGCTTTAAAGTGACTTATTGTACAGTCTGACAGAGGTGGGGATAAAGGCCCTACAGTAGCTCTCCTTCTTGCACGGTCCTTCTGTTACGGTCCTAGCTGGATTCGTCTGCATATCTGGCAACCTGAGTCAGCGAGAGTGAGAAAGGTTGCAGTACCACTTTTGGCCAGATTTTTACATACTGCTCCTTTAAGAATATATTCTTTATTAATACTGATATTGATCATAATCAAACAGAAAGTAATGATTCATTCTTCTTATGCAATCAAATTAAGGCCTCTTTCTTTCGGTTGGCAGTATGTATTCCTATGCACCAAGATGCCTCCCAAACAGTTAAAATGTCAATACATATTTTGACCAACAGGAGGTTTGTGTGCATATGAAGCTTCACGAAATGAACCTTTTCTCGAACCAGATGGTTGGAAAGGTTCAGCACTTCACGAAGCTTCATCAACCCATCACTACTAAATGATCCATTATCACATATTGGTCAAAATAATCTGAATTATAGAGACTTTCGCCCCTTGACGTTCTAATAAAACACTTTAATGTCTTTGTTCCTAAAGGCTGTTTACAATGATCGGGGGTCACTGCTTTAGGCGTGAGTGTGAGCGAGCATTATATTGTATTATTATGTGACTTTATGATGATGTTGCTCTATCTCTCTCATGTGAGTCCTTCAGATAATGTTCGTCCTGCCTCCACTGGACTCCCATTTAAGTGCATGTATGTTCAGTTATGTATTTACCTTAATATATACAGTCTATGCCTTAAACCCCTCTTCTTCGTCAGCTCCTCACCACAGCGAACACTTCCGGGATCCGCGGAGCCTTGGGAGCCTGGAGAGCCGCGGTCCTGTGGCTATGGCTGAAACCTTTTTCACGCGGACTTCATGAGACTGTCGTGAATAAAACAGATGTTTGTGTGAAATAAGGCGAGGCTCTGCGTTTGTGCCGTCCACTCCACCGGCGGAGTGTGCTGAGTGCAGCGGGGGGCGCTGTGCTGCAGAGACATTTGGCTGCATCTGAATCCGCAACTAATCCTTTCACACGTGTCCTTTTGAAAGCCCTTTACTGAGACTCAACTCCAGATTTGGGGAAGAGCGGGGCATTTTAGCGACTGTTGTATCAGAACTTTGAACTGAAGATTGTAAGGAGGTGACTAAGTATGAGGAGGCGAGTGGGAAACGAGGAAGGAAGTGCGGAGATGAAAACAGACGTAACCAGTGGAGGATGTAAACACTGGATGTCACGTGTTCTGTCTCAAATCTGATGAAGAGGATGAATGAATTCGTTATGTGCTGTGGGAACATGTTGATGAAACTAACATAATCATAATTTGCGTTATTATTATAATTATGATTACTATTATTATTATCATTACTATGATGGTGAGTTTGAGGCGTGGGACCGGGTCTGAGGCTCAGGCATGTTTACTGTAGGTGGTGGTAATGGACAGTGTTTGTGACCGCGATTTGGCGCCACAAGAAGAAAAGCAGGTCCAAAGTGCGAGGACACATCAGGCCTCCATTAGTTGTCCTGCTGTAGACCTACTTTTGTCCTGTTTTGGTCCTGTTTTGATCCAGCTTTAGACCTGCTTTAGTCCTGCTTCAGGCCTTCTGTATACCTGCTAGTCCTGTTTTGGTCTAGCTTTAGGACATTATCAGGGATTATATCCAGTGGACAGGAGGTGGACAGGGAGGGTGGTTTGAAATGCAGCCTCAGCAGAAGAGCGTCCTCTGTGTGGGACTTGTGTGCTTGGACATTATTAACGTGGTCGACCAGTATCCTACAGAGGACTCAGACACAAGGTGAGGACAAGACCACAAAACAACACTGGGGTGATGTGGTCTTAACCCTTTAATGGTTTCCTCGACCATTTTTTAGACCTAATTTTGAGTCACTATATCTACTTGGAACATGGTTGGAACTGAAATCTACCTCATTGGGGCATATAGTTTGAGCACACATATGCTGTGCTAAAACTATACAGCTGTGGTCACTGTATTTTTGGACAGTAGAACTTTACATTCTTCCTGCTGTGAGCAATTTCGTGTGGCCTATTTTCGGCTGCAGTTTCAAAGGTAAATTCTTCAACATTTTAAATAGACTGATGATAGATGACTTAACTATGATATAATAAACTTGATGCAACAAAAAAGGTATTGTGAGGCTCAAATGAGTTTTTGAATTGGGTTGAATTGGCACTTCATGGTGAAATTTAGCATGGATTGAAATCTCAACCATATGGTAAAAATCTGGTGAATACAATAAAAATAACGACTAAAATATGTGTAAGACGTATCGTTGTTAATATGTTGAATTACTGTTATTCCAATAAGATGTTGATATTTATTATGTATTAATTGATGGGCATAAAGAGTATCAATAAATATTGATGCAAAAAGAGCATCAACAAATAATGACCCTGAAGGGTCTGTCAAGATGGAAATGTAGAAAGTGCAATGTTTTCTTGTTTTTGATCACAGAGAATGATTTTCCACATGCCATCAAATTTACAGTGACCGCTTCTAAGGGTCCCAAGATTGTCATTTGGAACATTTTAATTTATTTGTGATTTGTTTACGTTTATATTGACCAAATAGTTAGTTTGAGATGTTAGGTTGCTGTTTATTACTATTGCTGAAATATGAATATTATGGCATAAAAGCCTTGTATGTTTAGATGAAACAGTTTCCATTTAAAATGTGAGCAAAATACATAGTTTTCAATTAAAAAAATACTTCACATGAGTTATTTTATAGCATTTCTTAATTTTCTGCTTTCTTTTTTGTATTTGTAGGTATAACATTTTAATTTATTTGCTATAACACATGTATGACTATGTATTAGGCACGTTTGCCATCAACCTGCATCCAAACCATTTGTTAGATTTAAAAACAAAGTGTTTCAAAACAATAAAAACAAATTATTTTTGTTATCTCTATAACATAGAAAATCCAAAAATATAATTTTTACATTTACTTTTTCCAAGGAGTGAACTTTAGGGTTTAACTCGGGGTGATGTGTCCTTAATTCCTGGGTAGCTGTGGTCTTAAACCCTGGGATGATGTGGTCCTAAACCCTGGGGTGATGTGCTCTCTGTCTCAGGTGTGTTTCGCAGCGGTGGCAGCGCGGAGGAAATGCCTCTAACTCCTGTTCTGTTCTGTCACTGCTTGGAACCAAGACCTCGTTTATGGGATCCATTAGTCGAGGCCCGGTGTCCGAGTAAGTCCTAAACAAAGACTTAAAGCTGGGTTTCGTAAATAACAATAACATATGTTTAAAGCTGGGGGACGTAACTTTATCGTCATAATTATACCATGTTTAACACAAGTTAGCTGTATCCTGGGTTAGCTAGACATGTGAGCATTCTGCCAATCAGAGGAACACGTGAGGACTCTGACCTATCAGAGCTGACTGTAGAGGGCAGCACTACGCCGCATTAGTCTGCTGTGTTTAGGAGATAACACCGACCTGTTTACCAAGATCAGAGCGAGCGGAGAATCCACTGAACCTGAACCCTGCTGAAGGCTGCAGTACCACAGTCCAACACCAGGGTCATGGTAAATGCTGCAGTACCGCAGTCCATCACCAGGGTCATGGTGAAGGCTGCAGTACCGCAGTCCACCACCAGGGTCATGGCAAATGCTGCAGTACCGCAGTCCATCACCAGTCATGGTGAATGCTGCAGTACCGCAGTCCACCACCAGAGTCATGGTGAAGGCTGTAGTACCACAGTCCACCACCAGGGTAATGGTGAAGGATGCAGTACCACGGTCCACCACCAGGTTCATGGTGAAGGCTGCCGTATCACAGTCCATCACCAGGGTCATGGTGAAGGCTGTGTTTTGTAGGTTTATTCTGGAAGACTTCAGGAAATTCCACGTGGACGCATCACTTGTTACAGAGCATGCTCAGTGTGCAGCTCCCGTCTCCATCGTCATCGGCAACAGAAACAATGGCTCCCGCACCATCTTGCACATGAACAGGTGTGTCACATGACCTGTCTTGTGGGGAGGCTGTGATTGGACTGTCCCTAAGCCCCGCCTCTAATGCTGTTCCCTATCGTGTTACATGTGTTTTATTTATATATATATATATATATATATATATATATATATATATATATAAAATCAATTATAGTATATACATTACGCTGTACATGTCTTGTAGTTTCATCGTGTCTGACTTCTCGCGCCTCTCCATTGACTCCTCCCTCCTCTCCTGGGTTTCCGGGACAACGCCGGTTGCCTGTTGTGTGGTGAGTCGCTCTAACGGCTCCAGGACTGTGGTTCTGTACGACACGTAAGCTCCGCCCCCATCAGTGCCAAAACCAGCCAATCAAAGCAGAGTTACATGGTCCAATAATTGTATTTATATAATTAATAAAAATCAAAGTTGGTGTGGCTTAATCGACTGACCAATCACAGTTAATCCTGTAATGTGATTAAATACATAAATCTGAATAACTGATTCTAACGGATGCCAACATTCTCTGCCTTTTCTCTCCCTTCTCTCTCAGGAACCTTCCGGACGTTTCACTCGAGGATTTTTCTAAAGTGGACCTCCGAAACTTTCACTGGATCCACTTTGAGGTACAGACCAGGTCCAGGACTAAAGACCAGGTCCAGACCAGGTTCCAGGACTAGAAACCAGGTGCAGCACTTAACCGGGTCCAAACCAGGACTAAACCAGGTCTGAACCAGATCCGAACCAGATCCAAACCAGGTCTGTCCCAGGTCCGAACCAGGTCTGAACCAGGTCTGAACCAGGTCTGTACCAGGTCTGTACCAGGACTAAACCAGGTCTGAACCCAGTCTTTGCTCAGGGCAGGAATGCGAGTGAGCAGCTGCAGATGATCCAGCAGGTGGTGCAGTGGAATAGCTCTGTGCCTCCGGACCAGAGGGTCTCTGTCTCCGTGGAGATCGAGAAGGTCCGAGAAGAACTCTACGTGCTCTTCAACATGGCAGACGTGGTGTGTGCTCTGATATGCTCAGCTGTGTTCTGATTGGCTGCAGGGGACTCAGCTGTTTTCTGATTGGCTGTTTGTTGCAGGTGTTTGTGAGTAAAGACGTTGCTCGTAATTTTGGGTTTGAGTCGGCGAAGGATGCAGTGATGGGACTGTCATCAAGAGTCAGACCTGGGTGAGTCTGAACCAGTCTAAACAAACTAGCTATAGAGCAGGTCTACACCAGGTCTAAACCAAGTGTACACCAGGTCTACACTAGTCTTAACCAGGTCTGTACCAGTCTGACCTTTGCAAATCTCTGTGCACACTCACCTGTCTTAACTTTCTGACCACATACAGCTTGTTTTTGTTCTGACTGAAATGAGAGTAAAAAGTGTTTTTCTCTTCTTTTTATGTGCCCGTAGCTCTGCCCTTATATGTGCGTGGGCAGAGCTTGGTGCAGATGCAATTAAAGATGGTGTCCTGTTCCACTCTTCGGCGTTTCCTCCTATGAAACTGGTCGACACTTTAGGAGCTGGAGACACATTCAACGCATCAGTCATACATGTACTAAGCCAAGGTACAAATGTTTCTGTAGTGTCCCAAAACGAGTGCAGGTCCAGTATGACGCGCAGCCGATTGTAAAAAATCATGTCATAGTTTTGTGGATTTAATTGTACCAAGGGCTTATTGTTACAGCAGATGTGATTCAGACCTAGGAGTAAAAAACAGGAAACAAAAGTGTGTAATACAAAATGTGAGATGAGAAATACGGCTACCTGGCTTCTCCCCTGTCACTGAGCAGGAAGCGAGTGCCTTTTCTAAACTCCCGGCGCGTGACCCACACCGCCTGACACGTTGCAGTAGAAACCACAACACAATAGGTTATGGCTGCTAAAGCTACTGCTGTGGCTGCTGCTGCTACTACTTCTACTACTTCTACTGCTGCTCCTCCTTTCACCCTAGTGTGTTTACAGGCGGTGACCTACAGGAGGCGCTCTCGTTTGGATGTCGTGTGGCTGGAGCAAAGTGTGGTTTCCATGGATACGACGAGATTGCACAAACGTTTGGACCAGAACCGGTTCAGACCTGAGTCCAGACCAGAACTGGATCAGACCTGACTCAGGCCAGAACCGGTGCAGATTTTGAATGTGTAACTTATGAATTTAGAAATAAACCGAATTATTTCAACACTGGTGTGTTTTGTTCTCTAGACAGGAGAGGCGCCAAAGGGTGGGGCCAGAGCATAGACTGTAAATATTAACGGACGTAGTCACGCCTATCTCCGCCGTTGAAACTAATGTGCCACCACTTCCGCGGTCTATGGGGGCAATTTCAAAATGGCCGCTGGGGCTGGAAGATGTGAAAAAAAACGCATCTGCGCATGCGTCAGCCGCGCGAGCTCCATTCATTTAAAGTGATTGTCTGGAGTTTGTCAGAAAGAGAGAGCGAGAGGTACTTGATTTGAAAAAAACGACGCAAGCTCCCTCCCGCTTCCTTTCGGATTGGTCTACACCTACGTTTCTGTAACACTTTTAAATGTTAATCAGAGAACACATTATACATATACATTATTAATACACATGCACAGAGGTTTTCAGAATTATTTGTTAACTCTTTAATGAAAAAAATAATGTTTTAATGCACAAAAAAAAGCAATCGCGGCAAACCCGGAAGAAGCTATTATCATGAATTGCACATTATAGGACACATCTGCAGAGGATCTGATTATGGATATAAGTTCAGTATATAAATGATTATGGATATAGGTTCAGTTTATAAATGATTATGGATATAGGTTCAGTTTATAAATGATTATGGATATAGGTTCAGTTTATAAATGATTATGGATATACAGTAGGTTCAGAATATATATGAGTACCTCAGCGCAGATGTTCAGAATTCTTTGTTCAGTTTTCATGTAGTTCCAGAGCCTTAAAGCCTAGCGTACATCGGACCGGCAACTGATTATATCCGTCGCATATGAGTTGCTGCCCCGCACACATCGACAATCTGACGAAAACGGGCAACTCCCAGTAGCAGACCAGTCTCGGGAATAACAGCGCGTACATCGACAGCAACTGGCCTCAACTACAGTGTGTTTTCTGACATAAACTGTTGCGGGCTCGCAATACACGCAATACACACACGTTGTCGGAGCGGCGCATGGAGCGCGCACATCGGGTCATATCTCCGGAACTGAGGACAACTAGTTGCCGAAAAGCAGAACACGGGCAACTGACTGAAACTGGAGACCAACTGTTCATCTCCAGTTGTAAGAGCGCGCACATCGACCGATTTCAGCAACTGATCATCTCCCACCATCTCCTCTCAGTTGCCAAAAGCCGCCTTGCAACTAGTTGTCTCCAGTTTCTCTGTCGATGTACGCTAGGCTTAATAGAGGCTTGATTCGGAGGCTCCGCAAAAACAAACAACTGAGCATGCGCGCAGCTACGAGCATCAGCGCTGATGATTGACAGCCCTTGGCATGACTCGATTGGTTAACATGGATGGCATCGTGGATTCTGAGCTATAGCTAAGAGAAGGGAAGGCGGGACTTGCCCGTAATATTAGAATTAATTAAATGACTTATTTTATATGTAGCGTCCCCGGTTGATTTGACTGGTCACTCGAAACTGATGGTTCACAACTTTATTGTTTCTTTGGTATGTGAACAACACCGTAAGAGCTACAAAGAATTCACAATTTAACAGGTGAATTTTTTCCTTTTGTTTCTCCTCTTCTTTTAACACTTCATACTCTGCTTCCTTAGCTGCTAAATCTGCTGCAGCCTCTGCTCTCTTTGCAGCTACAACTGAATTAACAGTAGAGGAGTGTCTGCTCGAGATAGAAGCAGAAGAACCATACACTGAGTGGGCATATTCCTTTTTAATAAGCTTATGGAGACACGTCCTAACCATATGACTGTCATAATCATCAATGCCGGAGATTCTTTCTTGTGCCACTTTCATAAGGTCAATGGTGACAGCCTCACAAGCATCTACGAATCTTCTTGTTTTTACTGAAGGGACCATGTGATTTCTGATTTCTGTATATAACTGTATAACACTGTCTCTATGTTTCTCTATATCATCCATGAGTAGAGCTAATTGATCAGTTGGAATGTCTACCTTTAGTTGCTGACGTGACATACGTTCTTGGTTTTTCCATTGCTCATATAGATGAAGAAGCCTTTGTTCTTTTCTGTGTGCCTCCTCCTCCTGATATAACTGCATTTTCTCTGTGACCTTCTTTGGACGAGTAGAACGATAACCTTACATACCAGATGACCTTCGTTGGAGACCTTGTGGATGAAGTTCTCACTCCAGCCTCAGGAACAAGCTCTTACTCTAGCGTCCCCGGTTGATTTGACTGGTCATTCGAAACTGATGGTTCACAACTTTATTGTTTCTTTGGTATGTGAACAACACCGTAAGAGCTACAAAGAATTCACACATTTAACAATTAGAAAACTTACAGTGAGACACATACAAACTCTATATAAACCCTTAATTCATTACCATATCCCTTAACTTATTCCCTTTTTTATTACCTTAACATTCCCTTACCCTTAATTGCTTAATAATTATCATATATATTGTAATCAAACTGCTTCAAATTACCCTTTGTTACAACAGAGCTGTTAACGGCCGTTTTAACGCCCTCTAGTGGCCAAAGGTAGCATACAACTAACCTAACGGTAAACAGTTGGAATGTGCATGCGTCTACAGGAAAGTCCATTAACGAGGAAGAAGTCGGCGATCTCCGCACCATACAACTGGCACGTGTAGTTTGTTTGTATCCACGGGAGGAAATCTCGCAAAATCTCGCACTTCCGCTTTCCAGCCCTATTCATTTGAACGAGAGACTTCAAAAATTCCCAGCGAATAAACTAGAGTGGTCCAAAAAAAATTTCCAGAGGTCTGATTCTTCTTCCAGGCCCCCCCCCCCACCGACCCGGGGTGGTATTGCAGGCATGTCAGCGCACGTCATTTTGGCCATTTTTGAGCCGGGATCCGCCCCCACTGGGCCAGAGGGAAGAGTTCATGACTGAAATAAAATGATCAAACCATATTACGAGTTAAATATACATATGAGCACTAATCCCCATGCAGCTGTGTGAGTTATCTCTAATCTTCACTTTGCCTGTGACATCACACTTGGTCTCCTCTGTATATGAATGATTTTAATCCGAGCCATGATTCATTCTCTACTGAACACAAACTGTTGATGTAAATGTGAGACGTGTTCGAATTCCACTGAACAATGATTCACACAATTCAATATAAACATATTAGGGACGAACGTGACTCCAGATTTGTTTTGTTTTTTTATTTGTGTGCACTAATGTACAGGAGCAGTAAACTCCTGTACAGTAAAATGGCGTCAAAACAATGCTGTTTGTTCTGACCCCATCAAATAAACATAATAATAAAACACACCAAACTAGTCATGTTGCTAATTTCCATCATACTCACAGTCACTCGTACATTACTACATATTTGAACACTGAAAATCTGTGATTGTCTTTTACAGAATTCTGTATTACAGCGTTTATAACTATAAATGTGTATTTGAAATTAAAGTATTGATTATTTATTGTTGATAAAAAATGGCGGCCGGTCCTCTCCTCCTGCCGCCGCAGCCGTCACCATGGTAACTGCGGGTTCGCGCGCTGCAGACTGAGAAGAAGGTGACACAAGATGGAGGACGTGGTGATGGAACAGAGGGACATCTGACCAAAGATCCATGTCTGAGGTAGCTACGCTACAGTGGCGTGAGAGGCCCGTTTGTCGGTGGGAGGACCACGATGCTCCGTGAGGCTGCCGTGCCCCGGTACGGTCTGCGGTGAGCAGGTGAGATTTAAGTGTTTTGAGTGTTCAGAGGGTTTAGAATCGACATGTGGCATTATCACCCTAGTTCCCCTAGGATAACGTTGTTATGGCTGTAATCCGTATTTAAAATCATCTGTGATAAGACTGCGTCAGATTGAGCCATTTCCACAGATAATCTATTTTGACAAAACTATTACAATTCAGTTAGGTTATAAAAGGGTAATAAACTATAAGGGACCAGGGATATAAGGGATAAAGAGACATTCAATTTATTTTGTACAGCCCTAAATCACAACAGTAGATAACCACGGAGGACTTTACAAAATTGTCGACCCGCCAAGACAGATCAGAGAATCAAACAGTTGAAACGCAGGAAATGCAACAATTGAAAAACACATAGCGCCATTGTTCCATAAGGGTATTAAGGGGTAGATGACCACTGTCCATACGTTTTAATAAATGTCCATAAACGTCGAAAAATGTTCTGGATCATCACCCCTGTCCTTAGAGACCAGAGGTGCCCAAAGTAGGGCCCGCGGGCCAAAGTTGGCCCGCCAAACACTGTCCACCTCCGCTGTAAGTTTCTATCTGCGTCCCTCAACCTCGTTGAAGAAACAGTGACATGTCTGAGATCGCACGGGCGCTCAAACGGCTCAATCCCCTGAACGGCGATTGTCCAGTACTTTACTGTTGTATCAAGATACACTCCTCACTCATGGTTGACATCTACTTGCACTAAAATGTTTTTTAAAATCAAACACATCTTTCAAATCAATTGGGTGCAAGCCCCCTTTATGTTCTTTTATTATTTACTATTATATTTTTTGCCACTCCCCCTCCTCACCGGAGGGAAATGGCGAGTGGAACTATTCACCTGCGCAATCCGCACCCACCCGGTGTGTTAAAAAAGACGGACACACACACTTCAGATAGTTCAAGCAAGAAAAGCAGGGATCACAGCGCACGATCCACGCAAGTAGAAGCAACAAATACTGTGCAAAACAAAGCCTTCTACAACCCCATGAAAGAAGCCGGTAAGCGCCGTCCTCACTCGCGATCATTGAATGTCAGAGCTTACGCGGAGTTGTATGATGCGTTCAAGAGCCCTTTGGAGGAGCGGAAACAGGGACTCTTTGACAGTTACTTTGTTTTGATTGTTTATAAATGTTGTACTGTGTTTAGGCAAAACAAAACAAAACTCTAGGAATAAATCATGGTTAACTAGTCTGATTTCGTTAGTTTAATATTCAGTTCACTA